TATAGATATTACATAATAGAATATTATGCATAATTGAGTTTAAGCAGAATACACAGATATTAATATAATAAAATATATCTAATAAGTATTTCGATATAATGGAGTTTAAACAGAATATAGACATCTTTTATAATAAAGTATGATACATGTATCGATATAATAGAATTTAAACAGAATATATATGTTTGTATATGATACAATTCAAGAAAGAACCTCATATTTACTGCATGCAAATAAACCTCAAACATGCAATTTTTTATGTCCTAAAAAGCCAAAATTTGAGCAATTTACAAAGAAAGTAGAAGTAAATAATAAATTCTTTTAACTATCAACCTGTCATGCTTGGCTCCCACAAGTTTAGTAATTTTTACTTAATGTTAGCAGTGAACCAGTATGAAACTAGTGCCGTATCCCTTTATTTGTTTAGATAATGGATATCGTCTCAAATACCCTTTAAGTGTTTAATCTCTGGGTCATCTTTCAGGATTCCTAGAGCGGGGATATCCAATAGAGAAATATATATTCCTTTATCTGTGATATCCAATATAGAAATATATATTTCTATAGCTGGGATATCCAATATAGAAATATATATTCCTATAGCTGGGATATCCAATATAGAAATATATATTCCTATAGCTGGGATATCCAATATAGAAAAATATATATTTCTATATCTGGGATATCCAATATAGAAAAATATATTTCTAAAGCTGGGATATCCAATATAGAAAAATATATATTTCTATAGCTGGGATATCCAATATAAGAAATATATATTTTTATAGCTGGGATATCCAATATAGAAAAATATATATTTCTATAGCTGGGATATCCAATATAGAAAAATATATATTTCTATATCTGGGATATCCAATATAGAAATATATATTTCTATAACTGGGATATCCAATTTAAAAATATATATTTTTTCAAACAAGATAAAGTTTTCTTTGGCAGGTTACCTTAAACAAATCAATAAAGGGACTGGAAACCTGATCTCTTACGAATCTCCAAAGAAAAAGTGAAATGTCCGATTCACAACGGTACCTTTAAACGCTTTGTCTGATCAAGAATGAATGAGATATCAATGTTTTCACTTTTGTTGTTTAATTATTTTCAATTATGGTTTCTCTTAGAAACTAAATTGCTGTGTCTTATTGCTCCTCCCCCCTCCTTCTTCCATTTAGATCATTTACCCCCCCCCACAATCTATTTTCCTCCCCCTCGAGCCCTGATGTTTCTAAATTCTCTAATTACTTGAAACTTGTGTCTAATTATACATCTGGTTTCACAGCCGCAGATTGCATTGAAATTAATTAATTATGTTGGATTCAAGTTCATCCTTCATTACGAGGCCAGTTACTCAAAAATTACTTTTTTAACAGTGATAACCAGAGTATAAATGGAATAAAAAGACGACATTGTATCAATACTTAAGTTTTTTGATGTTGTTACAAAGCAAATAGTTTTCCTAGATAATAATCAAATTACGAATTTAGTGAATTGAGCCTGCATGTTTACACTGCAAAATTGCTGTGTTGCATGCTCATTGGACTTTTTAAAACTAAAAATTGATTCTGAAAGTCGTCTTCCTATTTCTATCACTGTATCTGATTAAAAGATAGATTTTTTTAAAAGAGTGAAAAAGAAAGAAAATTGAGAGAAAAAGTTGAAAGGGTGAAGTATGCATAGAATGGAGAAGGAAGAATAAGGAAGTATGCATAGAATGGAGAAGGAAGAATAAGGAAGTATGCATAGAAAGGAGAAGGAAGAATAAGGAAGTATGCATAGAAAGGAGAAGGAAGAATAGGAAAGTATGCATAGAATGGAGAAGGAAGAATAGGAAAGTATGCATAGAATGGAGAAGGAAGAATAGGAAAGTATGCATAGAATGGAGAAGGAAGAATAGGAAAGTATGCATAGAAGGGAGAAGGAAGAATAGAAAAGTTTGAATAATTCACAATGCAAAAATGTGGAAAAGCTATGATTCCGGACTGATTATTATTACAAAATTGTGTATTTTTAGTACTCAGGGATTTTGAAATTTCAGCATCAATGGATACTTGAAATTAAGTTTACAGTCTCTTTAAGCGTATAGAAGCTTTAAATCCAGTGGAGTAGTATTCGGCATAATACAAAATTACATTCTAAGAATAAAATCTTTTAAACAAATTAGAAAATATTTGAAATATTTAAAATGATTTTGGGTGTACACTGTACACGGTACATAGTTACATAATGAAATCATTAAAAAACATTAGTAATATTTTTGTTAAATTAATATAGACTTCAAATAAACTTTGGTCGAGCATAAAACTGATATAAATATGCTTCGGTTTGATAAAAAGTATTAAGTAGAGTTTCCATTTTTTCAAGATTAATTTAATTATGTAAAGGACTAACAGACAGAAACCTTCCTGGACCTGATAAGTGTGATAAACCATAAATAACTTTTAGAATTTAACGGCGAAACTTATCTTAACCTCCTATAAACCAGTTTACGGGACGAATATTTAGAATAAATCTACCTCCTATAAACCAGTTTACGGGACGTATATTCATCAAAATTGCTTTGGAATAATCTTCCCGTAGATTTTTGTTCCTAAAATGCATGCACACACCTAGCTCTGTTTAAGATGTAGATTTACCTAATTCGGTTAAGAAAGGTTCCACCCTTTAAATCACTGTGATTTGAAGGTCTCAAGCTATTAAGCAAGAATCGATTCGAATTTTGCCAATTTCTTCTTAAAAACCCAAGCTTATAACAAGTGCTTTATAGTGCTAAAATGTACATGTAAACAGCTACAGAAAAGCATAAGTGAGCTAGAGAGCGGTAAGATCAAAGCCCAAGGCGTTGTGACACTTCAAAGTCGACCCTGTCTTAAAAATTGATGAGACTATTTGTAAGCAGGCTAAATCCAAGATTTAGGGGTTTTTCGTTCAAATAACGCTGGGACAGAAGCTCAAAGGAGTTACGCGTATGCGTCGAAGAACAGACTCCCTCTCTGTCTTGAAATTCTGCGCAGAATGCGCGTAGCTCCTTTGGGTGTCTGCCTTTGGGTTATGTGAACGAAAAACCCCTAAATCTTGAAAAGGCGACATATAGCGTTCTATCTGTGTTGTTGTTAATCTATGCGTTTATCATTCTTCGTAGCTTGAGGAAAGGTTTGCTGATCAAAATTGACCCGAAAACAATAAAAATTTAAATGAAAAATTTATAATTACCTAACATTTAAGGTGAAATTGCAAAAATAAATTTAATCCTAAGAATTCCTTTTTTGCCCAAGACACATAGAGGCCACAATTCCCTCCATCATATTATAGTTTGTGAATGGATCAGACCTTAATTAATAGGAAACTATAGAAACTTTAAAACTTTATTCAACAAGAAAAGATTCATATTGGAAACTAAATTATAAAAATTGGAAACTAGAAATTATCGATTTTAGCTGAATTTATAAAATTTTCCTAAATGTATTTCTTAACAAAAATATTTGATCAATTTAAAAACTTAAATATTTTTCCTAAACCTAGTTTGTTTAAAAAATAGAATTTTTTTCACTTTTTGAAACTTTTTAGAATTTTTTATTTTATTTTTACCAAAATGTCCAGGAAAAGAGCATTTTTGATTAATAACTTAAACTCTGTTCTATTAAATTAAGTTAATCTTGAAACGAGTTTAAAAGTTAATTTAATTTAGTTTAAATGTCTAAAGCAAGATAAAATTAAGATGAATTAAAGGGATCCAGTGTCATCTAAAGGAAGATAAGAATAAGATGTTGAAGATAAGATTAAGATGAATTAAAGGGATCTAGTGTCATCTAAAGGAAGATAAGAATAGGATGTATTAAAGGGATCCAGTGTCATCTTAAGGAAGATAAGATTAAGATGAATTAAAGGGATATAGTGCCATCTGAAGGAAGATAAGATTAAGATGAATTAAAGGGATCTAGTGTCATCTAAAGGAAGATAAGATTAAGATGAATTAAAGGGATCTAGTGTCATCTAAAGGAAGATAAGAATAGGATGTATTAAAGGGATCAAGTGTCATCTAAAGGAAGATAAGAATAGGATGTATTAAAGGGATCCAGTGTCATCTAAAGGAAGATAAGATTAATATGAATTAAAGGGATCCAGTGTCATCTGAAGGAAGATAAGAATAGGATGAATTAAAGGGATCAAGTGTCATCTAAAGGAAGATTAGAATAAGATCACATGAAATTTCGCATACAGTCCCTTTAAGTTAAAACCTACACAATTGAATAGACCCCAAAACTTAAAGAAAACTCGCTTAAATTTTCAGCTCTGACTTTACAGCTTAAAATGTACAGTGTGGTCAGATTTTATTGTAAAGTTGAATTTAGTTTGAGTGTTAAATGTGAACTACAAAACAAATGTTTAAGGGTTCATTCTTTTTAATATATAATGTATATTATAAAGTATTATTTGTTCACAAAACATTTATTTGAACAAGAGAATGAAACAAAATGAACAATAGAAAATGCAATGTTAGCGGAAAAGTCCCTTGTATAGTTCTACTCTTCACTATTTTCCATAATCAGAGATAAAAATATTAAGAGATTGTTAGGACACTTTTAAAAAATGGATCTTTACTGAAAAATATTCACGCTATCTTATGATAAGTTCTTGGCATTTTAAATTACATACTTTTGTACTAAATATACATAAAGCTGCAGTTTTTGAAATATTAATTAGTTCTGTAAAAAAAACTTTTTGTTTAAAAATAATTTCAGAATGACGGCAAAGGAACTTAGTTTTTGCCACAAACTAACATTTTCTATTCCGGTCCATATATTTTAAACCAGATGTGTTAAACCTTTAAAATTAGAAACTGAGATTATTTGATCTAACAGAATTCATAGTTTGATATATATTCTATGCATTGGGTTGCACAGATTTAGAGATTAGAAAATCAGAGTTTGTGGTTAAAATTCAGTTACTTTTCCAATATGATCGAAAGTCTTTTTCATGATTAGGGTTGGTTTCTCCAAAATATCAACTGAAGTCTGCAACAACAACAACAACAACAACAACAACACCAAGCAATACAGCACTAAAGCGGTAAGAAATTAAAGAGTATCCTTTAACTTATCAATATTGTGGAAAATTGAGTTTTTCTCGTTGGAAATTTCCTCCATTGTTTCTAAAGTTCGCAATTCCTTTTAAAGAAATCATAGAAATATAAATATAAACAATTTTTCATAGAGAAAAGGTTATCTTATGAGATTCTTGATGAGATAAAGTTATTAAGGGTATCTTTGCGTGTCGGAAATATCAAGCTTTAAATTAGGAGATTTTCTTGAAATTACGTCTACAGTACCTTTAAATATGGAGATTTTCTTGAAATTACGTCTACAGTACCTTTAAATATGGAGATTTTCTTGAGATTTCGTCTACAGTACCTTTAAATATGGAGATTTTCTTGAAATTACGTCTACAGTACCTTTAAATATGGAGATTTGATTTTCTTGAAATTACGTCTACAGTCCCTTTAAATATGGAGATTTTCTTGAAATTAAGTCTATAGTACCTTTAAACATGGAGATTTTCTTGAAATTGCGTCTACAGTCCCTTTTAATATGGAGATTTTCTTGAAATTACGTCTAATAGTAACTTTAAATAACGAGATTTTCTTGAAATTACGTCTAATAGTACCTTTAAATATCGAGATTTTCTTGAAATTACGTCTATAGTACCTTTAAATATGGAGATTTTCTTGAAATTTCGTCTACAGTACCTTTAGATATGGAGATTTTCTTGAAATTACGTCTACAGTACCCTTAACTATGGAGATTTTCTTGAAATTTCGTCTATAGTACCTTTACTTATGGAGATTTTCTTTAAATTTCGTCTACAGTACCTTTAAATATCGAGATTTTCTTGAAATTACGTGTACTGCAGTCCCTTTAAATATGGAGATTTTCTTGAAATTACGTCTACTACAGTCCCTTTAAATATGGAGATTTTCTTGAAATTACGTCTACACTCTACAGTACCTTTAAATATGGAAATTTTCTTGAAATTACGTCTACAGTAGTACCTTTAAATATGGAGATTTTCATGAAATTTTGTCTACTACTACTACTACTACTACTAAAAAAGATTGCACGATTAATCAAGGTTTTAGAGGACATATATTGAGAAACCTCATTTTCTGGGATGATACGTTGTTTTCATTTTACAGCCCCCCAATCCCTATTGAAAATGTCATGGTTAAGTATGAACAACTATTGCTTTATATTGACCAAACATTAAAGCTGTATCACATCGAGTTATTGAACATTAATTGTGTCGAGATTGCTTCATAAGTGACGATAAAAAGAAATATGGTTTCCTTCACAAAAGTTTTTTTTTACAAAAATTTTCGATTTAAAACTTTTTACTTTTAAAATGGAAAATAACAATGAACACAGTGATGTCCAAAGGTTGCAAGCTCTTTTCGCAAAAATTTATGAGAATTTTGTCTAAATTGCTTCTCAAAAGTTAAAGCTAAAATAGTTAATTTATAGTTTTAAAATGAATTATAGTTTTAAAATGATATAAAACTCTGTCAAATTTATACGAAAATCCATATATATATATATATAAATGCAATTTTGTATAAAAGTTGTAGTATTAAACAGATCATATTCAACAAATACACAACCAATCTGAAAACGACGATATCCCATAGGAGCCTGAGAATCTCAGGTTTGCTGCCAAAACTCTGATTTTCGAATCACTTTATCTTTGCAGTCTGGCGTCGTAAACCTTTTTATATTTTAAACTTTATGGATTCTGATAGATCAATTATAGTCTAAATTTGTAATATCAAATATTAGGTTGCAAAGATATAAAGAGTTTGTGTCAAGCGTTCAGTTCTTTTAAAAATCTACTTGTCAACTTTATATTGGAAATAGTGCAAACTTTTCAAAAATTACGACTTAGTTATACCTCTCGAACTTTGACTCAAACAATTTTCAAAAATCATACAAAAAAGTTATTTAATTTTTAGGAAAATGATTTCAGCAATGGGAACAATGTTTATGATAAGACCAAAGGATCCCATGTACAAGATAACAACAGTACATACGACTATAGTACACCTGTACATGAAGACAACGGTAGATATGTACAAGATTGTACACCTAGACACAAGGACCTGTCCTATCCATCTCATCCGAATAAAAGGTATCAATTCTAATATCTTATCAAGTCAAGTTTAATAGAAATGTCATTTTTAAATTGAATTTTAAACATCTGTGCAGGGTGTCCTGACACTAAAACACTCAACATGGGTTCAATATATAGAAATATACACATTTTTTAATCTTAAACTTAATCTTAAAAGCTTAGACTTGAGTCTTATTTTCCCAAATTTTTTAAATCGCGGGCTCAGATCAATTTACTCCATCTTAAGGGTGTTCTTTTTTATTTGACAACCTGTAGAAATTTTAAATATTTTTAGAGCTGGGTTTCTTATTCCTGGAGTTTGTTCCTACCTGGAGACTCAAGGCATGTTGAGTAATAAAATAAATATTAAAAATCATTCATTCCTAGATAAAGGAATACTTTCCTAGATTAGATGCAAAATGTGAGTTACGTCTACGTATTTTCATATGACCCTCCATTGAACACTAGTTACATGCAAAAAAAGATAATAGAATATATATTAGAGTGAAATTTATTAGAATAAAGTGTAAATCGGCCATGATGTTGTACTGTTTCCATACTGCAGGTGTACTTCACATATTGGCGCTATATAACCTTTTAGGTCCTGGAACATCATTTTATAGAAAATCTAAAATTAATATTAAAAGAAAACCAAATTATGAAATAGGCTGGTTTCATAATTGACCAATGATCATTTCAAATAGACTCATATGCCTTTCACTTTACAAACGATGATTTTCCGTTATAACTTTAAATCAAATGATTTTTATTTACCTAATTCATTTTATAAAGTTTATCTAACAGCTTTTAAAAATTCGAAATTGAAATGGATAGTCTAGGGAACCTGCTGTATTAATGTACTCTACTGCATATAATTTGTGAACATTTGCATGATTTTTACACTTTGAACTCCCTTTCAGGCTGAAAGGGACTGACAAATTCATACCGAAGGATTGTCTAAATTCCACTCTAATATATATTCTACTCTCTTTGCATGCAGATTAACAAAATTTATTTATGTAGCAATAAAGGAAAAATCTTAATTTTCTATTCAAAAAGAAATAATTCTAATTTTCCCATCTTGTCTCCGCTGCAGTAAGAAACAAGTCACTGGCATGCATAATTATCTACTTTTAGATTGAAAAACAACGATATCTTCCTTATTGTGGCTCAGAACATTCCCCAACTCCTGCTAAAAAGGACCACCTCCTGTGTCATCCATTTATCTATATATTTTTCTATCTATCTATCTATCTATCTATCTATCTATCTATCTATCTATCTATCTATCTATCTATCTATCTATCTATCTATATATATCTATCTATTTATCTATCTATCTATCTAACTATCTATTTATTTCTTGATAAACACTTGGGCTACGCCCTCAGGTTTATCATTGAATCCCTCGTTGGTTTAAATTTCCATTGATTAATATTTGTCTGCGAGTAAAAAGTTACATTCAATGGGTGAACGTGGGTTCAAACTTCAAGCTAAGACTCTTTGTACTTTTAATTTAGAGTTGGTGCATGAGTGTGCAGTGTGCAGCGTTATTATTTGATATTAAAGTTATTAAAGAAATACGTTATTATTCAATAATACCAGGAACGGATAAAGTACAGAGGAAGACGACCTCTCTAATCTTGAATCTTCAATCCAATAATAACATACTGATTGCGGTAAGTAGCACAATTTTATCAAAATTTACATAATAAATATAAATCGAAAATTTCAAAACCTTTTTGCAACAGCAAAAAAATGCTATAGCAAATATAGAAGCAACATTCATGAAAAAAAATTAAATGATCAAAACTTTTTTAACGGATTTTTAAGTAACAAATTTTTATAATTCATCGTTTCCAGCCAAAAATTTGAATATTCATTTTTGTGTATTTTGTTGAAGTTTTTTTTCTCATTAACTTTAGTTTTTAATTAACACAAAAAGCAAACTTTTACTAAGTCCGCAAATTTAAAAAATCTTCTTTTTTAAAAGTCTTTACAAAGTTTTGTCAAAAACAACTTTAGGACTGTTGCAAGATGGATTTCAGTATTTGTTTATAAAAGAATCCTTCATATTTTTTTCTTCACTTACAGCATTTAAAAAAAAGTTAAGTCGAGACTTGCAATGTGAATAAATGGAAAAACAAATTTTCGATGTCTAGAGAGTCTTTGAATTGTTGTTTTCACCTAGGGATGTCGAGGTTTGAATAGGATTAGTGAGGATCAGGGATCGAGCAGGAATAGAGAGGATCCAGGATTGGATTTAACCTGGATTCCTCCTCCACTGACCCCAGATCAGGTGACTAGGGATTGTAAACGGTAAGCGTTTAGCGAAATCCTTTGTTCAGCAAAATCATTCTGTCAGGAAAAAAGACACTATAATTAACACAAAAAATTAGTTTGCTATGAAATATTTCTTTCGTCAACGAAAACTATACTAACCACCTGTATTATCATAATCCCACCATTCCCCTTTTTATTCACATACACCCATCACCACCTCCTGTAACCCAACCAACTTCCCTTGTTAAATTTAAATCCCCCTAGCCCTCAAACTCTGACCATATCCTCCTTTCACAATATATTTCCCTGTAATATCTCTAACCCTACCTCAGGTCCTTTCACCCTTATAATTCAAATGATTAATCTATGTATGCATTATTACCAAAGAATTCCTTCCACCTCATCAATTAATCAATCATTCATTCATCGATCCTTTGAAATAGAGAGAATACATTTATAACCAAGCTTCTGTCAAGTTAGGGTTGAAGGGGGGTCAAATGGTTATGTTTTAGGGTGAATTAGCAGATCTGAGGGTTATGCAGGATGGGTTAACCGGTTGGTGGGTGATTAGCAGATCTCAGGGTTATGGATTCAGGTTGGAGGGTGGATTAGCAGAACTCAGGGTTATGTAGGATGGGTTAACCGGTTGGAGGGTAGATTAGCAGATCCCAGGGTTATGAGGGTGGATTAGCAGATCCTAGGCCTATGTAGGTTGGGTTGGGTTAGCAACTTCCACCAGGCTTCCTGAATTACCCCTACCGATTTCCCTGCTCTTTCAACTTTAAAATCAAATCAAATCCAAGATTCCTTCTTGTTTCTCAATAGTCTGGAATAGATAAAACTGTTTCAAACTTGTTTAAAATTTCAAATTTGTCTTTCTTGAAACTATTTTAAAATGACGACACTTTTTAAATCGATATTTTTAAAGGAATTATACGCAACACTTGTTTTACAGTGTACAGTGATTGAAGTGTAAGATTTTCAATACATGTTAAATGTTAGAATAATTAGATAGCTGATAACTTTTGAATGAATGGAACTTATTTAAATTAGTTCTCTTGAGATAACTCATTCTATTCCTTTGGGGGTAGTTTAGCTCCAACGTTTAGTTGAATTTCTTATCTTTCAAATTTTCTAAAATTGTTAGACATCGTTAACATTTTTTTTACTTCCAGGGGGGGGTCACACTGTAAACTCTGGTTTATTTCAAGTATCGGGCCGCTTTTTAGCAACTAGAGCAAACTATATAGAACACATACATACTATATAAGGCAAAACAGGAAAGTTCATCAGATGAATCAGCCCATCTAGGGAAATTCAAGTACTCAGCATTCATTGGGGCCTGAAACCCCCCTGGAAATCATTAATTTCACTGATCCAAAGCCCCCACCCCCTGTGTACGCCTCTAGATGTGTCACTTATCTTATAAAATCTGTATATGCTGAATCCATGTTATTAAAAGATAAGATCAGTGTGGTACGAACTAGATGTAGATTATCATTATATTATTGCAAGAAAGAAAGCTGTAAAAATCAGTAATTGTAAAATGATTTATTTACTTAATCCATATTATATGTTATGTATGTAATGCAAATTAGGTGTCACCAAATCTTCACAAAAAAATGAATCCCCCCCTACCCCCTCCCTGTCCTAAAGTTCAGAACCCGAGTGGAAACGTTATTTAAAGGCACTGTCAACGTATTTAAAGGCACTGTCAACGTATTTAAAGGCACTGTCAACGTAATTTCAAGTGACCCTATAGTAGTAAAAGTAGGAACAAAAAAGTATCGGATTAATTTCAAATTTTTAAACAAATAACTTCGGTCAATTTTTTTTGTCGCCTCTGAATCCCTTTGTCTAAATTTAAAAAATTTAAAATCATACTTTTGTTGTAAAAACATCCAAAGTTTAATTTTTAAATGTACAGATAGTTGTACAGATAGTTGTACAGATAGTTGTACAGATAGTTGTAAACTTTTGTGATTACTTTTTTCAAGTGTTTGCACAGTGCACTCAGTTTCTTTAGTGTGTAATAAAATTTCAAATAAAAACTATTTTCCTTTTTCACAGTTGGGACTCAAAAAAATACTTGAATACTAGAGAGCGAAAAGCAGAATTATAACATTTTCTGATTTTGAAAAAAGCATCTTCATAGTTAAAAAAAACGTTTAAATTTATTTGAAATAAGATTAAGCCTTTCCAGCTTAATTCATTTAAACTTCTGTTGCTTGACAGTTGGCACTAATTTGTTGATGAAAAGTATTTTCTATTTTTATTTGTCAGACTAGTTTAACAAAGCAGATAGATATTAGAATATAAAACCTGATGTCCTGACTGCTCCGGTACAATCCGAGTCAGGATTTGAGGATATTATTTTCAAATCAAAATAAAAGAAAAAAGAGTAATAAACCTAAAATAATTTGATATCCAAAACGAAATGCCAAACGAAAAAATGTAAAAAAAAAGATTTAATCGAAGAAATTAGGTTAAAAAATCAGCTTGCTGACCATAAACACAGGAAATCTGAACCCTTCCGTTGGAATGTTTAGCTAAACCTTCTTATTTTGAAATAGAACGATATAGAAAAAAATCAAAACTCAAAGAAATTGTGTATGTGAATTATTTTTTGCTTTCAAATAACTTTTATTCCGCACAAAATCGATGAATTTTCAATTCAGAATTTGGAAAAAATAATCCTGTCATGTGATGTGGAAACTGGAAAGATATCGCTATGCGGTAATTCAATTATTTACTTAATATATCTACTTAGGATTTTGCTATAAAGTTTCGTACATAATGAAAACACAAAATATAGAAAAACACGTCTTTATTAAAATTTAAATATATACAAAAAGTAAATATATTACATTTTGCTGTAAAATATCGTTTCTAGAATAAGAAGGTTTTTGTTATATTTATTGTAAAAACAATGAATTGTTGTTTTAAAATTTATTTCAAGCAAAATTTACATTATTTTCAAACTTTGTGTTTTCCAACTTTTCTCCTCTAAATCTTAGAAAGGAATATCCCCTGTAAGCTGAGAAGCAGGATTAACTGGTGTTGCCCATGGCTATCAGTTCTTCAGTTTGCGTGTTTTTGTTTGACCCTTCTTACTTCTTACTCATTTCATTCGGCGGAGGACGACCAAAAGTTTCTAAACAGGTTCATCTCTTCTTATTTATGTGTCCACACGTTAACACGCACCAATACGCCCGTCTGTTGGTTTGGGTGCTTGTTTGTGGTTTATTACCGCCAAAACGGCTGAACCGGTCGTGTCTACATTTTCTGTGTGGTACATGACATGACCCTAGGAAAAGTTTATAGCCGGTCAAATTGAGAAATTTTCCTTGAAATTCTTACTCTGCATTTTTTTGAAAATCTATCTAGTACACACTTCACTCTAATAAAAAGAAATATGATTTATTGTATGTACACATGTACACTGTACATTATACTCAGCAAACACTACACTTTAATATAAAGAAATATGATTTATTGTATGTACACTGTACACTGTACACTGTACACTGTACACTGTACACTGTACACTGTACACTGTACACTGTACACTGTACACTGTACACTGCACACTGTACACTGTACACCGTACTCAGTACATAATTATAAAGAAGTATTCGACAAAATCCAATTTTTTTTTGAGTCTTTATTCAGATACAGTGGTTGGCGATTATACTAATAGAATGAACACAACTTCAATTTCTATTTTGATTTTGATTTATATCAAACTGTTAAATAGCATAGATAGTAATACACATAAGCATAGAAGTCAAGATAAGCTGTCAATTAAAAAAGCTTCTCTTTGATTACTTGCAAACGTGTAATTTGAAAAAAAGCTTGATAACAATCAAAACTTAAATAAAAAGTCGTCTTATTGTATTGATATAATCGCCTAACACTTTATAGTTCCAAGTCGACAACTCTATATATCATTTTCCTCTGTATAATAAAACCAATGGAATTCGCAAATTATTCGCTTTTATCCTTACATTGCATGTCCTCAACATAATCGACAGACTAATTGTTTTTACCTGGCCAAAATTAGATATAAATATATTTAACTTTTATTTAGTGCTTCCATACGTACACTATGGTGTTTCAGAATTATTTTGCAATGTTAACCCTATCCAGATGGGTGGGGGGGCATAGGGTAGACGGGGGCGTATTTTTAATGTTGTAACCCTAACCTTAAAAGTTAGAGCTCTAGTTGGCCTTAAAAATTGGACTATTGATATGTATCACTCCCTTATCTCAATTATAAGGGCAAAATCAAGCTATATTAGACAATAATAGCCCAATCAGGACAGGATAGGGTTATTGGAAAAATAAAGCGTCCGCCAAAAAATGTTTTTTTCAAGTTTTACAATTATGACCTCAAAGTTGTATCTACCTATAAAAGGTGTAATTTCAAGTGACCATCCATGCAAAGATGGCAATGACCGATTCACAACGGTAGCCTTGAAACTTTATCTGATTAATAGTGTGGAAGCTAACTTCATTTTTTTAGTTTTATAAGTGCAGATTAAAATAATTCCGTCTGTAGAAATGTGCAAGTCACTTTTGTAGAGAAACCCCAGTTGAAAATGATCAGTTTTCCAAATTCTAAACATTGTCATCAAATTCATACTTGATCAGACAAAGCTTTTTATAGAACCATTGTGAATCGGGCATTGTCATCTTTGCACTGAAAGTTACTTTAAATTACGCTTGCAGTCCCTTTAATAAGCAACTTTCTTACCCTGTGATGATACATCATATATATGATACCTGCATACATCATTACTTTGTTTTATATCAGCATCATAATATTACTAATGAATCAGGTGTAATGTAAATGAACCAATGTTATAAGAAATCTATAATTATCCTGAGCTATGCTAACATAAACATATATATATATATGAGGATGTAATGTAGATATATCTGTTTTTTTATTGAATAATAAATTTTAAGAAAATGAACTAAAAATGACCCTGACCCAGCATGTGATTGTGGGGTGGGGGTGGGGGGTCTATTTTAATGAGAAAATTTGTACAGTTCATAATTCCCACAATGAAAATATAGAAAATGGAAAGTATTCTAAGAAAAAAACTACTTCCAGCTATATCATTAATTTTAGCAGGAGGTTGAGCCGACCATATTCATTTTCTTCTCTTGATGCATTTCAAGGAAATTTAAAGAATATCTTTTACAAAATCCAGGCTCCTGAAAATATGCAATTCTCATAATATTTTATACATATATATATAAAGCCATAGGTTTAAAAAAAGCAGTTATAACAATGTCCTGCCCTTTATTTCGAGTAGGAAAATGCAAAAGTATTTTCAAGTGACCAATTCAATGAACAATTATTAATATTTGTAAAGAAAATAATAATTAAATAAACAGCCAGTACACAAAGTTATTACAAATTACAAGCTTTTTGGATAAAATAAGGACAATTCTTAATTTTAGCACTCCATTTAAAAGGTAACATTCTCTTTAAGAAATATCTGTACAATATGAACTCTAGGTTCAATGTTACTAAATCTCTCATCTTAATCAAATACCTGAACAGTCCCTTCCTGTAACATTTAAACCGGAAACTTAGTTTTAAAAGTTTTAGGTTCATAATCTCTTCTTTGAAGTATACTTTGCCTTATATGCTTGAAATTAAAATAGTTTCTCCTCTACATATAATATTCATATTTCTCCCAGGATACCGTCAGATAGGCACATTCTAATCATAAACTTAATTTCAAAATAGAAACTTCATCATTTTATGGACAAATAAATAAGTTTTATTTTTGAAACTGGCAGCATTAACTTTCATACGTAGAGAATATGAAACCTGAATAAAAAGTGATTATTAGAATGAGCCATTTGATAAAATGCCAGGGAGAGACTTTTAAACATTGAGCAGAATTAAGGTTTTGGTAAAAAAAGGGTTGAAGTTGTTTAAACCCACCTAAAATAGCAAAATCTTGTGAGCCTTCAGTACACAACATAAATAAAGATTTTAAAGTATTCAAAATATCTTGATATTCGAATGAAAAATGAAATAAATAGGTGAGTACCCCTCCTACGCCATTTGCTGACCGAGATGGCCTACTTGTGACACCTGGTGAGCAGAATACCAGTCTACTAGAGACCCCTGGTGAGCAGACTTGTTGTTTACAAGAGACACCTGGCGAGCAGAATACCAGTCTACTAGAGACCCCTGGCGAGCAGACTTGCCGTTTACTAGAGACACCTGGCGAGCAGACTTGGAGTCTATTAGAGACCCTGGGCCAGGGTGGGCACACTAGCAGTCTACAAGAGACTCCTAGCGAGCAGACTTGCAGTCTGCTAAAGACACCTGGCGATCAGACTAGCAGTCTAATAGAGACACCTAGCGATCAGACTAGCAGTCTACTAGAGACACCTGGCGACCAGACTAACAGTCTACAAGAGATATCTAACGACCAGACTAACAGTCTACTAGAGACACCTGGTGGCAAGCAGACAAGAAATCTAAAAATTACATGGAAGAAACAAACTAGTGATGAAGATCTAGATAATACCACTACTAGGCTGATTGGCACTTCAGAAAATATAAGTCATGGCATTATGAACAGCAAATCAACCAACTATAATATGAGCAGGATTTTCAATCAAAACAGACAAAGAATTGAAAACATCAACGGTATCCTTGAGAACAAACCATACAATAACAGAAGCACATGTGAAACTATGAACATCAAAGTATCTGGAAAGTGGAGCACTTGCGATTCAACATCAGAACACTCATCTGGTAATGGGTACATATTTGACGTAGAGTCTAACAGAGCAAATAAGAAAAACATCAATGAAATTGATAAATCTGGCATCAAGATTATTAAACTCAACGAAACCAACACATCTGGCCATTGGAGCAAATTTTCAGCAGTTCCAAATATAAATGAAACCATGGAGAATGATACTAAAAGAATAGAAACATTCAAAGATGTCAAAGAACATATGGAAACCATGGATGGAAGAATTGAAAACAATTTAAAATCAGAAGAAAATCTTTACAAAGATGATTCTTTAGTTAACAAGGAAAAATATCAATTATTCCAGATTTCTTCCTGACAAACCAAGTAACGCCAAATTACGAAACAGTTCAATGCACATTTTTTCAAAAACGTTTCATTTGTAATTTTATTTTTCTTTGTTTTTATTACGTAATATAAACATATTTCAAATTTTAATCAAAATCATATAAAAGGTTTTCATAGACCTTGTCTGTGGAATCTTTAAAAATGTTTATTGAGACTCACTGTGTTAAATTAATTGATGTTTACTTAAAGGTTATTTGTATTCTAACCCCTCCACCCACTCCTTTCCAGGACAGAGGCTGTATTCTAGACCAACTTACAAGGATACAGGGATATCAGGTAAATAAAATAATAGTTTCGCAGATTTTCAAGACGTTTAACAATAATCTCTTCTACTCATCAAGCCCAAATGTTTTATCTTAATGATACAAAATTGATCTGGATTCACAGACAAACTATTTAAATCTTCGCCACCTCTTATGATCTTTATTTATTCAATACCTCATGGTTAATCATTATGAACAAAATCTTAAGACATATGTTAGACATATAAGTATCACATTCTGTTTTCTATTACTAAAGCTTTTAATATTAGGAAAAACTGTTATTATTGTTAGGGTTTCTTCTACCATGTGGGTTAGTGTAAATACAGACATTTTTATATCAATAAGAAAAATATTGTTTCAGGAAACATCTGATATTCTTTCTACCGAGGAACAAAAGGAGAACTTGCCAGTCAATCAATCAATCCCACCGCCACCTGCATTTTCATAATCCTATAGCACACCCCCTACATTCGCATAATCCTACCACCCCACCACCTACATTCTCATAATCCTACCACACCCTTTACATTCACATAATCCCACCATCCCCCTGCACTCCCATGAGTCCTCCAAGGATTATACATTGAGGATAAACACATTATTTTATGCATTTTATCCATTAAGCTGCTTAAAATTACAATAACCTAATTTTTAAAGTACAAAATCACATGTCTAGACCGAAATTAATAAATAAGAGAGGTCTCTTAACTATTCCTAATCCAGTTCAAATCTTGAATCACCGATTCAAATCTTCCTGAGGCCGAAATTAAAGAATTTTAGCCGCGGCTTAAATTTGAAACGCGGCTCAAATAAAGTTGGTTCCACTTTAAATTGTATAAAAAGTTTCAAGATTAAAGCCGGCGCTCAATTGAAACCGGTTTTTGGCGGATTTAAGACGCGGCTCAAATACATTAATTTCGGACTCTGAATCTTTAAATGTCAAGATATTGCCAACATATGTTTAAGTGACGTTTGAAAATAGAGTATAAAAATAAAAACAAATTTATAAAAGTTTTCAAAACTATCCTGTTTATTTTAATTCTTGAAAGTACTCAAGAATCCTCTTTCAACAATAAAACTATTGGAAGGAAGAAGGAAAAGGATAAAATTTCTAGAAACCCAAAATTATTTAAATTTAATCATAAAAAAACATGATAGTTTCAAACGTTGAAAACATCTGCTTTTTGGCCTAGTTTTTTGGCATAGTTTTTTGAAAGATGCATTTTTCAGATTTTTAGAATTTTACAAAAAGTTTAAAATTACAAAATACAAATAGTGAATATGTGTATATTCAAACTACTAAGCTTCTATTTTGTGTTTATACATAAAAAATGTATGTTTAGTTACAATATAATCCAATTTAGATATCAGGATTCCCCTAGTCTCGCCTCTTCCCCCCCCCTCCTCGACATTTAGAAGTCGCATTTCCGGGATATTACCTTGGGGAATAAGCATGGAAATAAATATGTGTGTAAAAAAAACATTCAAAAAATATTTTTTTTAGGAGATGCGTGAGAAATTATTTCCAGATACTCAAAGCCAGGAATTTCATTCATTCTTAAATCAACTATTTTTAACTTTAATAATTTATTTTGAATAAGGGGTGTGGGCACAAGCTCACGCATACAAATAAAATGATAAAATCAACTTAAAGGGACAGTAAAGGAAAAATAAAAGGGGGTATAGGCTGAAAGCTAATCACTTTAGCTCTTGATCGCGACCCATGAAAGTTTTATCTGATGTTACTATCTTGAGAAATTGATATAAAACTGTGTTAAAATCATACGAAAGTTCATATATGTGGTGCTTGTTTGTGGTTTATTACCGCCAAAACGGCTGAACCGGTCGTGTCTACATTTTCTGTGTGGTACATGACATGACCCTAGGAAAAGTTTATAGCCGGTCAAATTGAGAAATTTTCCTTGAAATTCTTACTCTGCATTTTTTTGAAAATCTATCAATGAACACAGATAACCTGGCAAGTATTTGAGTCTTTACAACAAACTCGAAGGAATTGAGTATTTGCCAAATTTTCTATTCCCTATATCTTTGCAACCTGATGGTTTAAACCTTTAATATTTCAAACATATATTATTTTATCTATAAAATTGATGGGGAAATGTTTAGTTAATTTACTTTATACGATATACTGTCAAATTAGCAAACTACCTTAGAACGGAACTTTTCCTTCTTTCTATTAGAATGTTAACCACAGCACTTCATTAAATAGATATATCGTGTAATCTATGTAAACATACGCTGAACTTCCTACAGAGATTGAGAAATAAATCCGGTTTTAGCTGGTGGAAATACAGTACATTACAAAGGAACAAAATGGATTCACATGTGAACACTAAATTAATATTGTGTATCGTGTATTGTGTATTGTGTATTATGTATTGTGTATTGTGTATTGTGTATTGTGTATTGTGTATTGTGTATTGTGTATTGTGTATTGTGTATTGAACACTTTTTGAGTTATTAAAGTGTTGCAAAAATGCAGAAAATCACTTTGTCCATTGATAATTTCCGTGTCAATTCAATCAAATTAAAGTGTTAAACATCTATGTAAATAGTCTTCAATGCTCAGTGCATTAAATGCTCAGTGCTCAGTGCTCAGTGCTCAATGCTCAGTGCTTTAAAGGGAGTGTTCGCGAAAAATGAAAGGGGGTATAGGCTTACGGCGAAAATTAAGCGCTTTTGATCGCTACTAATCTTACTTCTATCTGTTGCGTCTATAATGAGAAAATTGTTAAAAACGACTTATGTTGAAGAACATAGCGTCCATACAAATTCAGAAAGTTGCAACATTCAACTTGGATCATAAAATAATCAATTTACTTCCAAACAAATAATTCAGATATTACAAACAAAAGTCATCGATTATTTTTCGACTCATTCGTATATAGTTGATATTTCATATTAATTTTGATTTTGTTTTTAAAAATAATTTTTCGCTGGCGCTGGATTTTCGAACTTTCCTGGAAAATATGAAAATGTCGTCTTCATTATCAAAAATCCTCGAAATAGGAGTGAATGTTTTCAAAAGTAATTATCTGATCATAAAAAAATTTAAGACGGATCTTTTTTTCATTTTAGTAGTTTTTTTTCCCGCTTTACATTCTTTTCCAACTAACTCTCTGCTTGCCTTTTATAAGAATATAGTTCTTTACCTTTTTTTGCTTGGAAAAGTTATTAGCAAAAAATTTTAAGCTCTTAGGGTTTCTATAAATTCAATGTTTCTGAGTTGATGAAAATTGTGAAAAGTTGAACGATTTCTTCAAATTTTTAATTCTTCAATTTTCTCAGAATTTGCATAGAAACATGATAACTTCCTAGCAGTATGCAGTTTATGGGGATTATTAAATTTTAAACATTTTATTTTGAATAATTTAAAAATCCGCAATACAATACAACCTCAGCAAGAAATTATATTTTTTTCTTTCAAATGGCATTGCATGGTACAACACAAAAAGTCTTGGATTCCAAATACTATATTTTAAATACTCATTAGTTGTTGACAAATACATTTTAATTTAGAATTTAGACATTTTTTTAGCCCTTGCAGAGTTAACAGTTTTTTCTCTTATTAAAACTAGCAAATCGTTACCTGTTTTCACTAAACATTATTATGAAATCTTTTAGTATGCACCTTTAATCCCCTAAAACATTCCCCTTTGGTTGTTAAAATTAAAAAAATGTATAAACTTTTCGTGCTGAATGAAAGAAACATATGAATGTAATATGTAGAGAAAAGAAAAATGGCCAGATTTGGTAAAATGAGAAAGTTTGAAGATTTGTTATTTTGAGTTGAATATAAACTAAATAAACTTGAAGATTGCCTCCATCCATTTTACATTTACATAATAAACGTCAACACTAGAACTACAGGGTGTCTCAGAATATAAACGTGGAACACTAGAACTACAGGGTGTCTCAGAATATACACGTGGAGCACTAAAACTACAGGGTGTATCATAATAGACACGTGGAACACTAGAACTACAGAGTGTATCAGAATTTATGTTGAACACTGAAATACAGGGTGTATCAGAATTTATGTTTATGTTATGTTATTTATGTTATATGCTATCTGATACATATATGCTGTATGCTATATGTATCAGAATATTTGCTAAACACTAGATGTACAGGGTTTAACAAAATATATGTTTAACACTTGAACTACAGGGTGTTTTATAATATATGATGAACATATATATTGAACGCCAGAACTACAGAGTGTATTAGAATGTATGTTGAACACTAGAATTACATTTGTATGCTAAACACTAGAACTACAGCTAGGGTGTTTAATATATGTTGAACACTAGAACTACAGGGTGTAACTGAATATATGTTGAACACTAGAACTACAGGGTGTATCAGAATATGTATTGAACACTAGAACTACAGGGTGATCAGAATATATGTTGAACACTAGAACTACAGGGTGATCAGAATATACGTTGAACACTAGAACTATAGGGTGTAACTGAATATATGTTGAACATTAGAATTACAGGGTGTATCAGAATATATATTGAACACTAGAACTACAGGGTGTATCAGAATATATATTGAACACTAGAACTACAGGGGTATCAGAATATATGTTGAACACAAGAACTACAGGGTGTATCAGAATATATGTTGAACACTAGAACTACTGGGTTTATCAGAAGATATGTTGAACACTAGAACTACAGGGTGTAAATTGTTAATGAATATTAAATGTTTTCCTTCTTTCTCCCTGTAAGATAACTTATTTATATATTTACTAAAGTTCAACATTTTGACGAAATATTTAAAGTGTAAATTAGAAATTCCCCGGATTATCCTCCATATACACTTTCTACTTATTTATATACAAGGTGATTCAGCTTACACCAGACTGCCTTTTCAGAATATATATTTAAAGACATGTTTACTATTTTTTCTGTGCTATTTTAAAGGAGATTATTTGAACAATTTAAAGAGTTAAAAGAAATAAAGTTCTCCAAAGAAATGGTTTAATTACGGATACGATCAAGAAACAAAGAATCCTCCAGTAAAAACACATCATCTCGTAACAATTAGAGAAGACCGCATTCATATTTTTTAATTGGTTCGTTTATTGTTCGTTAACGACTCATTTGTTTTTTTTAGTTGATCGATAAAAATGTGTATGCGTTCGTTAGTTCAATCCACGTTTTTTTATGTCATTATATTATAACTGAATGCACGTAAGCGTTTAGCGAAATCGTTTGTTCAGCAAAATCATTCTGTCAGGAAAAAAGACACTATAATTAACACAAAAAATTAGTTTGCTATGAAATATTTCTTTCGTCAACGAAAACTATGCCCATCTCTAGTCGCAATTCAGGAAATTAAATTAATTCTCGTAATTTCGTTTTGGATTTTAAAATGAATTCTTTTTCATTTTTTTCCTTCTTAGAAAACTAGTTATTTTCATCTCTTTTCACATTCTATTATTCATAATCTTTGGAACTTCCAACCTAAAGAGTTTCACATTTTTCCTTAGATATTGTTTAGAACATAGGACTTTAAAACTTTTCATCATTGACTGAATTATTATTGGAAATTCTAGTTTTCAGACAAAGCTTTGTTCCTACAGACTACACTATGTATAATCTAGAAAACAAACTATTTCGTGTCATTTGTTCAACATTGTTCTTGGTTATTTCTAAAAGATTGGATAGCCAACAAGCCCCAAATCTGGAAAGTTGTGCATGAATTTAGAAAAAGCTGGAAGTGATGTTTAAAACTTTGATAAAAGTTTATAAATCTTGTATTATGTAGATGCTATGGAAACCGACCTATAGAGGGCTCTGGGAGCTGATCTAGGAGTATCTAAACTATTTTACTTATATTTTTATATTTGAACAATTGAGTCTTTCCCATAAACTAAGATTTTATAATCCCTATATCTTTGTAACCCGATGGAGTTAGAAATATGACTATGAATTATGTCAGATGAAAAATATAAGTTTAAAGGTTTACATCATCAGGTTGCAAAGAATCGATTTGTGGCAAAGACTCGACATTTTTTAGATCTTGTAAATTTTTCAGTCAAAAAAGACTTAGGTCCGTTTCCTCTATGTTAGACCAGGATGTTCCATTAGAAAAAGTTACTTTTCAACATGCAGATAGTTAAAATATGTCTTATCATGCATATATCCACAGAGTAGAGTAACCGTTCATCAAAATGGCGGTTTAAATTTTTTTGAGGTAAAATTCATTCTATTTTTTTTTAATAATTTATTTGTTTCTTGTCCAAAATAATTTCCACTCATGTATTGTATCTTCATAATGTAATATTTAAAATTATACACTAACATAAATACAGGATCATATGAAAATATAAATTTTCAAAATTGAGTTTACGTGTCGCACTATAACTCAATTTTACTTTTTTGTAGCCCTTTACATGTACATTTTAACACAAGAAAGCTCTTGTTTTTATCTTTAGTTTTAAAAATGAAAATCGGCAAGATTCTCCTCAATTTCTGTGTGAGAGCTGGCAACCTTTGAATTACTGTGACATGTTTTTTACCAATAACAAAAGTACTTATAATAATACCGTTTCTTTCGATTTATACACGTAAACCTTTCATGTTGAAACTGATTTAAATATCTTTAAAGTAAAAATTTATGACAAATGCGTTTTTATTCGCCATTAAAGGGAATATCGATTCTGACTCTTGATGGAGAGAGTTGCCTGAAGATTAACCACACTATCCGTTAAACCTAAGTTCAGCAAACATGGTTTAGATATTTTTTTTGATTTTTCTACCTGAAAATATTGATGATTTTTAATTGTTGTTTATTTACGAAGAGGCTGATTTATGAACCAGAATAAAATAGATGGTTAAAATTCAACACTTTTTAAGATTATGATTGCTCAGCTAGATGAAGGTTTAATGGGGTCAGTTGTGAATCAGGCATGTCACTTTTTTAAATTAGGGGAGAGGGGGTGTCACTTTTTTAATTTAGGGGAGTAGAGTGGGGAGGGTAGTCACTTGTATTTACGTCGTCAGTTCCTTTAATATCTTTTTATTTGTGTATTTGAGGATCCTGTTATTGTCACTTGTCTGTGCAAATACAAGATTATAATCAATAATAATATTGGTGTCCCTGGTTACAACCTGACATTTGACAGACATAAACACAATACAATCCACAAATAGATTCATCAACAACAAGCTTGCTCCAGAAGAAAAAACAAACATGAAAAAATCAAAAACCAAAAAAAATCTGATATGATTTTAAATCTGTCTTATTTTGTCAAAAAAGAAAAGAAAATCCTCGAAGTTATACAAAAACTAAACCTAACCTAAGATAATACTTTTCTTTAAAAAAATGGCAAATATGCGTTGAAACTTCAACTGAGAAACATATTAAAGGAAGAAAAAAAAACTATAAAGGCAAAATTGTTTAAAAAGTTGAGAAGCACTCCAAATGAAATATTTACAAATTGTGTCCACTAAACATGAGATCTAGTAATCGTTATTTGAATCAACTCTACTCTTCATTTTGGAAATATTGCATTTAACGATTAGCCTTTTAATTTAAAGATAATACATGCAAATAGACTTGATATCCATTTCAGGACCGGCCTCATCGTCGTATCGTATTTAGATCCTCTAGTTCCGATTTTATGATAGGAATAAGAAAAGCAAATTTACTCTGCTACATATTAGAAATTCAAACCTGTTTTTTCTTGTCAATAGTTCTTTCCAATCATACGTGGATTTTACTTTAGTTTGACGTGTATGTCATGTTGTATGTTGGCATAATAGTGGGACACCCTGTATAATATCTCTATACATGTGTTGTATGTAATGTTGTATATTTTTATGTTTAATGAGACATCCTGTATAATATGTCTATATATATGTGTTTTATGCAATGTTGTATATTGTTATGTTTAGTGGGACACCCTGTATAATATGACTATGTATATGTATGTATGTATGTTATGTATGTGTATGGGTATTTTCAGTGGGATACCCTGTATATTATCTATAATAATATATATATATGTGTTGTATGTAATGTTATATATTGGTATATTCAGTGAGACACCCTGTATAACATGTATATATATATATGTGTGCTTGTATGTAATATTGTATATTGGCATGTTTAGTGCATGACACCCTGTATAATATGTCTATATATATGTGAGGGTGTATGTAATATATATATGAGCTTCTATGTTTGTATATTGGTATGTTTATTGAGACACCCTGTATATATATGTGCTTGTATGTAATGTTGTATATTGGCATGAACTGGTTTACTACTGGTTGTTTATCTTTATTTACCCTTCTCTGCAGTACTTTTAACAATACACTAGGGGTCTAAACAGCTACAGGAGGGAAGGGTTGAGGGGAGAGAGGGTTGAAGAATAATACCCATGGGAGATACTCAAGAAACAACGGGTATAAATCTATCACCCCTCCACTCCTACCCATGCACCACCTTCAACCTCCACCGATGCACCCCTTCACCTCCACCCACCCCCCACTCATGCACCACCTTCACCTCCACCCACCCCACCCATGCACCAACTTCCACTAGCTATATATCTATACTCCCTTTGCAACCTGATGTCGTAACTTAATAAGTTAAAGGATCTCTGTTATCAAAGATATAGAAATCATACAATTTGTGTGCAGTATCATCATTTGCCTTTATTTGTTAGAAAAGCTAGTTACCAAATTATGCTTATTAATACTTTTGGAACAAGCAGTTTAATCCAGTTATACTTTCAGCTTAAATCTTCCTGAAAGTAAACTCGGTTTTGTGTATATGTTTCCTCAAAAGTTTGCAGCCCTCTGATCTCATATTGTTAAACACAGAGTTTAGTAAATATTTTTATCAAATTATATTCTGTTCTTGACATTTAGAGAAAAACATGTATCATAACAAAATATATTCCAGAAATAAATTTTATGTTTTAAAAATAGCCATTCTGAAAACAGATATTGTGTGTTATAAATTTCGGGATCAAGCTTTGGTCTCCCACCATCTTATGCAGAGCTACGATTTATATAATTCCCATCGATATCTCGTACCATGTAAAACTAACTATAAGTACAACGAATTACATCTGTTCTGTTTCGGAATATTTTCGATCATATATTTTGATCTCTCATTCAAAATCCGTTATACATAGCGTAAGAGATATTATTGTACTTACATATTTAGAATACCAAAGTCCGAATTTAATGAATTTAAGCCGTGTCTTAAATTCCACAAAAACCGGTTTTAATTGAGCGCCAGCTTAAACCTTGAAAAATATAATAATAATAATAAAAAAATAATACAATATTAAGTGGAACCAACCATATTTAAGCCGCGGCTCAAATTCTTTAAATTCGGCCTCTGGCCAGACAAAAAGTATAGCTTACCGTGGTGCAGGTGATCAAATCATGGAGGAATAACTTTGATTTACTCTAAAAGTGTCGACATTGAATGTCGACATCAAGCGTTAAAGAGTAACAATATGCGCAAACAGAAGTTCCTCCCTCTAGATAAATTGTGTTCTCCATTTTTTACTTTGTTTTGTGTTAATTACTTGGAATTTTAATTCAATCCTTTCCGAACGTTTTATTAGCTCCTTACCTTACTTAAACATGGATTTAACTAAATAGGAAAGAGTTTAACTCTAGAACTTATTGAATTCTCTGCTCTGATAGCTCAATATTTGAAGAACAGCTATCTTTCTAAGTTTCCGAACTATTTTGGTTCTTCCAGTAGCATATTTTATTTAGTGTTTTAAGAACTTAACGGTCAAGGAAGTATTTTCAAGCTAATTTATGAATTGTCTCCTAGTCGTTCTTAAATCTAAATTTATATTTTGCGTTAATCCATCAATTGGGCTCGCGGATAAATCCCTCTTCGAAAATGAGTCTCGCGTTCTCAAAATTTTAGTCTTTTTTGATGAATTTTTACTACGTTTTCGATAACATTTTGCATTTGTTTTAAAAATTCTGTATTTTTCGCGAAATTTTCGTTTTTTTCCATATACTTCCATTTTTTCGCGAGCGAACGAAATGCGAAAATGAAGCAAAAAAGTCGCGAAAAAATGCGAAATGATTTTTCCTTTTCGCTTGAAACCCTAATCATAACGGATAAATAAATGGGATGAATTGTTAGGGACAAGGTTGTAAACTCTCTAATCTCGATGTACTCCTCTGTGACCTATATACTGAATATATGTCGTCTCTTAATTATGTCATTTTCTGGATTTTACTGCATAGGAGTCGACATTTCCCTACATTGGAGTGCATAGAGAGTAAGCAACCTTACTAAACCACCTTGGTTAGAGAGGAAACAGATAGAAATCTATTTCTGTTTTCATTAGTCCGACTGTCCAGAGTAAATCTAAAATAAATCCCACCATTATTTCTAACGTTGCTTCAAAACCAAGTTGAAGAAAAACTTAGAAATACAAAGTATTTATATATATATTTATAGACTTATATACATATAATAAGGAATAATATATTTTATTATACAAAGAAACATTAGTGCTAAAAATATACTAAAAATTTACTTTTCAATGATCTATCTTTAGATTTATCAAATTAGTTAAATACATAACATAGTTAGATATAAGAAATTATCATTTTTCATACGAATAAATATTTACTACATGGTTTCAATAAAAAGTAGCTTCATGGAAAAGGTGTTCCAGAAAAATGTATTCCAAGGGAAAGTTATTCCCCGAGAAAATGTTTTAGCTTAGTGTTCCAGGAGAGCCTCATCCAAAATGTGTTCCAAGAGTAGGGTTTCCAACGCAAGTGGATTTTACTTGCGCGCAATTGCAGGCCCTGTAATTTTCGCGCAAATCCGCACAATTCGGATCGGTAACCCTGTCCAAGAGTAAGATTTAATATGAGAATCTCATACTATGACTGTATCCAAGTTTATCAAGGTTTGGAATACAAGCAAAGTTGATCATAGGCGGGGGACCACACAGCAGCACCTAGATATATTCAGGTTTAGATTTATTTTATTTCTGAAAACCATAATGTATTTATTTCCTTAATAACTACAAGGCCATCAACAAAGAATGAAACTCTAAAAACTTTAACCATGTCAATCAGGGAGTAAGGAATAGAAGGGAGATATAACTGACGCGGTTCGCCCTACAATATGATAATCCATGCTTTGCAGACGGGTACTACATTTGTATAAGAAATATTCAGAATAGGTTATTGTATATGCAGTAATTGCACATCAGACAAATATTTCTTATTCAAATGAAGTATTGTCTGCAAAGCATGTATAATCAAATGGTAGGGCAGGCCGCGTCAGTTATATCTCCCTTCTATTCCATACTCCCTGATGCCAATACATTTATTTATTATCGTTGTAATTAAAGCGACCTTCCAGTTTGAGAGCTATGTCCGATTCCTGTCCGTTAAACCTTTTTCTAATCAGTAATGTGGAAGATATCATCATTTTAGCTTAAGTGTATTTAATTCTGACAATTTCCTCCATTGTTTCTGTCGCTAGAAAATTAAATTTTACAGAGATACCACAGTGGAAAATCATAAAATCATGGATATCTCATTCATTCTTGATCGCCCAAATCTCCAAAGGGTACCATTGTGTACAGGACATTCCAATTTTTTAAAAGAAGGGTCACTTAAAATTACGCCCGCAGTCCCTTGAAAGACTACAGGACAGACGACCAAAATCAAATTGAACCCTTTAGATCATTTTATTTAAACATGTATTTATTAAAATCTCATCCTTTAGTTGATAACCATGTGTACATAAAGTAATTCTATGCAAAAAAATGGTTTAATCAAGAATAATTGAAAAAAGAGGGAAATTTCCTGAAAGTGTTTCTTTTCTTTTCTCGAATTTATTTCCATTTTGTAGATATATTCTTGTATCCTCGGTAATTAATGAATTGTTTTACTCACCAAATTATCTGAAGATGGAGGGAAAAGAGCTTTTTCTATCATCTCAGCATTAATAAATCCAGAACTGTAACTCCAGTCTAAACATTAAATATATATTATATTCATAAATATCACTTTTATATAATATACATAACGTTAAAATATATTTTACGCAGTAACAGATCAGAGCTGTTCTTTTCTGTAAAAAAAACTTCCCCTGGCTTGCCCTCCTCTAAATTACGTAGAAAAAAATCTTGAGAGGCAATCTTACAAAAATATCGCATTTTCGGCGTAAATCTGTTTATACCAAAATATTGAGATACAATTGATTTCTCGTTTTTGAATAATAAAAATCTGCCTGTTTCCGAAAAAGCCCGCTTGGCGCTGCGGCCTCAAATCCACATACTATCTACTGTATACCAGAGCTTGAATCAATCTATATACATACTTGGTCCTGGTCTATCTACTGTAGACCAGAGCTTGAATACCTGGTCCTGGTCTATCTACTGTATACCAGAGATTGAATCAATCTATATACAATACTTGGTCCTGGTCTATCTACTGTAGACCAGAGCTTGAATACCTGGTCCTGGTCTATCTACTGTATACTAGAAATTGAAACAATCTACATACAATAATTGGTCTTGGTCTATCTACTGTATACCAGAGCTTGAATCAATCTATCTACAATACTTGGTCCTGGTCTATCTACTGTATACCAGAGCTTGAATCAATCTATATACAATACTTGGTCCTGTGGCCGAATTTAAAGAATTTGAGCGGCGGTTTAAATTTAAGCCGCGGTTTAAATATGGTTGGTTCCACTTAAAATTGTATCAAATGTTTCAAGATTTAAACCGGCGCTTAATTTAAACCGGGTTTTAGCGGATTTAAACCGCGGCTTAAATTCTTTAAATTCCATCTCTGGACTATCTACTGTAGACCAGAGCTTGAATACCTGGTCCTGGTCTATCTACTGAATACCAGAGATTGAATCAATCTATATACAATACTTGGTCCTAGTCTATCTACTGTGGACCAGAGCTTGAATACCTGGTCCTGGTCTATCTACTGTATACCAGAGATTGAATCAATCTATATACAATACTTGGTCCTGGTCTATCTACTGTAGACCAGAGCTTAAATACCTGGTCCTGGTCTATCTACTATAGACCATAGCTTGAATCAATCTATCTACAATACTTAGTCCTGATCTATCTACTGTGGAACAGAGCTTCAATCAATCTAGATACAATACTTGGTCCTGGTCTATCTACTGTATACCAGAGCTTCAATCAATCTATATACAATACTTGGTCGTGGTCTATCTACTATATACCAGAGCTTGAATTAATCTATCTACAATACTTGGTCCTGGTCTATCTACTGTATACCAGAGCTTGAATCAATCTATATAAATACTTGGTCCTGGTCTATCTACTGTAGACCAGAGCTTGAATACCTGGTCCTGGTCTATCTACTGTATACCAGAGCTTGAATCAATCTATCTAAAATACTTGGTCCTGGTCTTTCTACTGTAGACCAGAGCTTGAATACCTGGTCCTGGTCTATCTACTGTGTACCAGAGCTTGAATCTATCCGGGTTCTCTTTCTGAACCTCCTCTAGCTCTTTCCTGGAGAAGGGAGATTTATAATCTTGAAATACAAAATAAGTTTTAAACCTCTGTTTTATAAAGGTTAAACTATTTAAGTAGAACAAAATCGTAATATTTCAGTTTTATTGACCTTAGTGGTTAACTTAAAATAGGTCAGCTGCTCAGCCAGCTGATAGATCAGATGATTGAGCAGCTGACTGATCAGCTGATTGAGCTGCTGCCTATTAAATGATAATTTATTTAGCCAGGGGACTGGCAAGCATTTAAAAAAGTGTGACTTCATTACACAAAACAAATACATGTTTTACAATTTTAAACAATAGAAATATAAAAAAGTACAATTTTGCAAAAACCTGAGTAGAATATCTTCTTCTGTTTGGTTTGCTAGGAGTAAACTTAAACATGTCTCATCCTCAGGATCCCTATACATTTTTTAGAACATTAAAATTAGTAAATATAATCAATAATCAGAAATCTATGATCATTGGTAAGTGATTGGTGATCAGCGCTCAGTGATCGGTTTGCAGTCTTTTTGTTCAAACTTCAAATCATTCTTATGATATACGACTCATTCCTTTCCAAAAGCTTGGGCCAATTTTGTCTCACAGTTAAACAAAAAATAACACTTTAAAAGATTGTTTCTGGTAAAGATCTAGCGAGATTTCAATTTGTAATGAAAGGAATTGCGTCTTACTCTGTTTTCTAATACCTATTTCTTAGCAACCCAAAAGATTTTTTTAAAACTATGAACTTTTTTAGATCAAATAAGTTTGAAATATCAAAGGTTTACACATCAGGTTGCAAAGATCCAGGGATAAAAAATTGAGTTTGTGGCAAAGATTCCATTATGGTCTGAATAAATATGACACCACTAGGGCCCCTCCCATGTGTGGATAACCAGTACTAAGATTTAGATAAAAGACTATTTCAGGTCAGGATAGTTTAAGATAGAAATATGTCACTGCCCACTGGGGTTAAGGCAGTTTTTCCTAAGATTTTACCCAAATTTACTTTAGGAAGTGTGGGGAGGGTAAAAGTATAAACCTGAATACAGCTCTGACAAGCTGAAGCATAGGAGTTAAACCAGTCCCACCAGCAATCATGGAAACCTGCTTAGCACACACCTAGATTACATATACATACATGTCATTCTTAAATAACCCTTTATTTGATGAGTGTCATCTATATAATAAAGCTCTATAATAAATCCAATATATCTCCTCTTTCCTTCCCTTTTTCCTTCCCTCTATCCTTCCCTCTACCTTCCCTTTTTCCTTCCCCTCCTCTTGGTTCTTTGATTTCTTTCCCCCCCCCCCAAGGGGGGAAAAATTTTATACACCCCTGTTAATTTTCTCTACACTTAACTGACAACGTTTTAACTAAGCTAAGAACATTCCCGTGGTTCTACCAAGTTCCCCAATCAAAATTTCAGAGAAATCGGTCGAGGGGTTCCTGAGTTATGATCCGACATACAAAAACACAGATTACTACTTTATATATATAGATTACACTCCAATCTAGATATAAGAAAGAAGCTTAATCTTTTGCGGATCTACGACCTTTTAACTCCTGTAGTTATCACTTTACATCAATAAAGAGGAAAAGCAAACTGCAAATAAAACTTTCAATTTCTTTTATCCTCTTAATAAATCTTCCAGAAAAGATATTGTGTACAAAATTACGATGTATAATGAAATATCTAATAGGGGTAAAGTTTTAACCCTTGATTTCTAAACTAAAAGAAAGAACGAAAACGACATTTATTCACCAGGTTTCTGGTTCTCACTTAAACCTTTTATCCAGTTATTCTCAAGCACGTAATTCAGGAACGTTTATTTACTTTATACATCATAAACAATATTTTTCTCCCTTAATATTATATTATTATTACCCTGTTCTGCCACTGCCTTGCCATTAATATCCCGGCTCTCAATAATAAATAATTGAAAATTGAGCCATCAATCCAAACCAAAAATTACTTCATAAAAAGCAACGAAAAGCTCTGGAATGGAAATATTCGCGTCTAATATTATTAAAAAATGTAGGCATCTTTGTTGAGTGAGGTTCACTTCTGCAGGATGATGGATAGCATTTATTCTACATTTAAGTTGCAACATCCCTTTTGTATACTGTATTAAAATATTCCGGTTTCTGTTTGTAAACAAGGAGCATACTCCAGTCTTTAAGTTAACCATGTATATGTCAGACCAAAGTAAAATTGGTTGTATCGGAACTTTGTAAAATGCAGGAGCTTTTGACTCACCTGAGCGTATTTGGTATGTTAAGTTTGATCTTTATTTTGTATTTGATTCTTGAAATGTATTCTGTATTTAATATTTCTATGATATTGTATTTTTCAGTGTATAAATAACATGAGAATAAATCTAGAAACTCCTTAACCATTGGTACCAGCGCATCTGCGAGATTAGACTATGATTCCTACATTTATTTTAAACAACATTTTTAGATAAATCCACTTCAGGTACTCTGCTTTTGTAGAGTGTGTGCTCCCTTTTCTATTAACAAGTTTAGCGGTTAAAGGAATTCTACAAATCGCCAGCTTCTTTGAGATTGTAAAACTCAATTTTTCGCGAATTTTTCTAATAGGTGCATTAAAAAAAGGTGAAGAGATTTCCCCCCCCCCCCCCAAGATAAATTTGTTAATTTTTATGTTTAATAACCTTCCCTAGAGACTTGAAATTTAAACCTAATTGGTTCAGCCGTTTTGACTTTTTGAAAACCCGACCAGCCAAATATAGATTTAGTTTAACTTACCTTTTTAGGTTCTGATTTTTTCTCCGGTTTGATTGCAAACTCCCCCTTGCCAATATACTCCAGTAGTCCACTTGGACCACGTACATCTAGATGAAAATAAGTCCATCGTATTTTTTTATTGTTTCCTCCCCGCTAAGTTTATTGAATTTTTCTTTTTAATCATATTTTATCTGGTCTTTTCCAGTTTAACTTTCAATTTTTAACACTTCTTATTTTAGTTTTTAACCATTTCTATTCAATCTATTTTCCAAGTTGGTATATAATTAGAATCTAATTTTTTTCATTTTATAATTTTCTTTTTTGTGCTACGAAAACAAAATATTACAACTAAACTTAATAAAATATACATCGATATATTGTGTACTAAATATACTTTGCTTGTCTGTCTGTGTGTATCCACTTAACGTTAAAACAGCTGGACCGATTGAGAACTCATATGACCCCAGCAGGAAAGGTGTATGTATGGTATCATGGTAGCAGATCAAATTTGCCAGAAAAAATTTCGAAATTTATTGTTGTTGAAAATCCGCGAAATTTGATTTACAATAAAAAGGGCAGATTGATGAGCAACGGTTAACAGCTAAAATTATTACTAAAAAAGGTCGTTCAGACAGTAACAAATAACTATTAATAGCAGGACCAAAAAAGCCAAAATTGTCTATATTTAATGATTGTCCCTACGGCTTATATTATCAAGCATATGATCGAAAAAGTAGTTTAAGTATTTATTAACGGAAAATTCTATAATTTAATCTTTTTCAGCTACATAAATCCTTACTTTATAGTAAATACAGTGAGAACCAGAAAACAGTGATATAGAAAACCACGTTAAAGTAGTAATCAATTAAGTGTATTTGATGTTGCTACTTTTTAAATCATGTATTAAATGAAATGGCTCCGTTTACACTGTTGAATTACTAAATATCATGTTCCTTGAACTATTTTAAGCAATAACTTGAGTTTTAAAGTCGTCTTCCTAATCAGAACATTCACAGTTCTCACTGTATATATACCTATGGTATCCCCTATATTCATAGATTCAAGGTGTTGAGTTAGTTTTCCTCCCTCAGGGAACTTAGGATGTACATTAGCAGGGTAAACCTTGATCACTAGATCCATGTGTCCTGAACATTTAAAAATGTATTTTTAAAATCAGAAATTTTGATATATGTATATTTATTATATGTTTGAACATAAAATGAGAGTTTAAAAATTCAAAAAATAACTGGCGATAAAACAATTATATTTCGAAGGGACTTACCACGAAATTTTACGTAACCGGCCATTTTTAGAGTGATACGTTCGATTCACAACAATACCATTTAAAACTTCATCTTAGTAATAATGGGGAAGAGAGAAACCACAATTAAAAATAAACGATTTTCAGCCAGAACTATAAAAGTCTCTCATTCATCCTTGATCAAACAAAGGTTTAAAGGGTACTGTTGTGAATCAAATTTGCTAATCTTTGAGCATATTAGGGCCCCTAGAAATTACAGTCCCTTTGATATCGATTAGTTATTGGTTACCCAGGTCTTCGTCTGAAGTTACAGGAGTGTAGGGTCGAACCACTAGAGATCCATTCACCTTGGCAGACAGGTAGATATGCTGACCAATAGGTAGACCTAGATATTACAGGTAGATAGGTAGATCTAGATATCACAGGTAGATAGGAAGATATAGATATTACAGGTAGATAGGAAGACCTAGATATTACAGGTAGATAGGTAGATCTAGATATTACAAGTAGATAGGTAGACCTAAAGACCACAGGTAGATAGGTATTAGGTTGGCCTAAATATTACAGGTAGATGGGTAGATCTAGATAATACAGGGAGACAGGTAGATCTGGATATTACAGGTAGATAGGTAGACCTAAATATTACAGGTAGATAGGTAGACCTAAATATTACAGGTAGATAGGTAGACCTAAATATTACAGGTAGATAGGTAGACCTAGATATTACAGGTAGATAGGTAGACCTAGATATTACAGGTAGATAGGTAGACCTAGATATTACAGGTAGATAGGTAGATCTAGATATTACAGGTAGATAGGTAGATCTAGATATTACAGGTACATAGGTAGGCCTAAATATTACAGGTAGATGGGTAAATCTACATATTACAGGTAGATAGGTAGATCTGGATATTACAGGTAGATAGTTATATCTGGATATTACAGGTAGATAGGTAGATCTAGATATTACAGGTAGATAGGTATATCTGGATATTACAGGTAGTTAGGTGGACCTCGATATTACAGGTATACAGGTAGACCTCGATATTACAGGTATATTTGTTGATCTTGATATAACAAACTGCAGTAGATGTAAAAACATGTTTGTTAACTGATTTGAGAAATGACAAAAATTTTTTATAAAAAGTTTAAAGAAAATCGCACTGTTTGAAAAACCTATTGGTTATTTTTTAGTTTCCTATTGGAATTAAAAAGTAAAATTTTATTGCATGGGGGGGGGAAGAGGGGGGAACAATATTTTTTACTCAGTCTTAAGTTTGTTATAAATTGATTATTTTCCACAAATGTGCTCCTCTGTGCCTAGAAATTGTTATAAAACAAGAAGAAAAGTATTTAATTTATATGTAAATGCAGTCCAGGACTGAAAACAATTAGAAAATAGAATAAAAACTTTTAAATTCTATACAACAATTTAAACTTATCAGAAAAATAAGCACAGTAACCAAACAATCTTCTAATATTCAATTTTAGTAGTCAACTAACGCTCAGTTTTAATGGAGAGAGAGAGGTACATAGACGTGTTTGAACCGCATAACTAGCTTGCCAACACAAGGAGTACTAGATAAAGAAAGGAGGTTCAACTTAGCTTGCGTAATTAACCTACTTATTGAACGTGATATTTGGTCGACAGGTTTAGAACTATTACTCATCAGTTTAACCCATCGCACAAGAAAACTGGTTGAACCGGCGGTATATGGTTCAACTACTTCTCACAATTAATTAAATCTAATCCCAGAAGCAAGCCTGGTAATTGGTTTTACCTAAGCAGTGTTCTGGTGAAGGTAGCTGAAAGCTGAATATTCTTGTATCGTGACTCAAAATCTTCTTATCAATCAACTTCAGAGCATACTTCGTAGAGCTGTCTTCAAGGGTGATTAACTTTAAAAAAAACTATTTAATTTTCAATCATTCTCTGACTCACCCTAACTTCAAAAATACCCCAGTAAGTTAAATAACAAAATGTATAAGGGTTCAAAATCGTGCAGAACTCGCAAAAATAAAAATAATTGACGTTAAAAAAGTATCCAGAAGATTTTTGAATATTCGACATAGTTTTCCGCAAAACAGGGAAGCATCAGACAGAGCATATTTTCAAGTCTTTTTCTGGGACACCCTTTATATTTTTAGTTTTCTAAAAAACCCTTTAGCAATAAATACAAAATAAAATAGTTCACAATTTAACAAGCAAATAATTAAATTCGGATACTCATTGAATTTTGTTGTAAATACTTTTCGTTTAAATCACCTTTTTCTTCTTTCCGTTTAGAAGGAAGTGAGCAAGAAGTGCCGAGGCAGCAACTACTCCCACTCCAACCATTACAGGAACCAATCTGGAGGTGACAGGGAGCTAGTTATTATTATTATTTTCATTATCATCATTGTTGCTAGAATCATTTATTTATTTCGGAACAAAAACACCCTTAATACCTACTGACCAAAAATACAAGATTAATAATTCAATTACTCCATTTCACATGAATTGGAAAAATTAGGTTAAAGAAAAATATTGAATAACGGTTTTAAAAAGATGTTTGAAAATGTGCAAGTATTTTAGTTCTTAAATCAAATTAAAAACAGGAAGATCGGTTAAATAATCGTCCTTAATAAACTAACTGAAGATTGCATTCAGTATGGAACACACTGTACTAATGAATAAAATGTTGCAATAAGATTTTGGTGGTTTCGCTAAAATATAGTTATTTAAAAAAATACAATTAATTTTGGTAATGACCAAGCAAAAAAAAAAAACATGTTCAAGGACGGTTCATAAAAGCAACCTAGGATCATAAAACCAACCTGAAATATTTCTGAAAATCTGTTGCAACTATCTAGAAATTAGATTGCCAATTTAAAATTACACAAAATTAATTAATTTAGTTTAAGAGAATACTATCATATTGCGGCGTTGAAAACTTTTTAAAGGAAGTGTTCGCGAAAAACCGGTTTCAATTGAGCGCCGGCTCAAATCTTGAAACATTGAATACATTTTTAAGTGGAACCAACCATATTTGAGCCGCGACTCAAATTCTTTAAATTCGGCCTCAGCAGTACTTAATTTTTGATCTGATGAGTATCTAGTAATAACTGTTTGCTTCGTTACAACGTCATATAAAAATGTCGTCTTCCTGTTCAATTGATTACTGGTTCTTCCTGTACATACTTTTAAAATTTCATTTCAACTTAAAGATAGTTCACCATTAGGAAATACACATAATACACTAATCTTTAAACTTCCTGCCACAATTCAGCACCAAACTTAATTCTCTTCAGTTTCTATGCATTTTAAATAATCTGTTAAATTCTAAACAACAAAATGTGTATTCGTATACTTCTAGAAGATGTAACCATTTGAACAGGAATCTCGGTTTTTCCCGTAAATTTTAATAACCGTATAATTTAACAACATAATTATTTTGAATATAAGAATAATTTAGATTTGTTAATTGGTTGGAAAAATATCATTCCATCCGGGAAAAAAGTTCACTTGAAAAAATATATTCTTAATTTAAATTAAAAGCCCCGTGTTCCTCATTGTAGAATCCTTTTCCATTTTGAATCTGAAATAATGAAGATTTCAAGGTTTAACAAATCTATTTATATTTAAACTAGAATCCACTACAGTTAGTTGATGAGAGAAGTTGAACACTGTAGAATAGACACCTCATTTCACGTGCTGATAACATTACACTTGTCTTTATAATTATAGATAGGTAGGATGGAGGGGGGGGGGAGAGGGGAAGATAAAGTAAAGTTTTAATAATGATAAAACTAAATTATGAAAGATAAAAAATAGTTTTTCTACAATAGTGTAGGTGTGTAATGTGCATTCTAAGTAGGAGGAGGCGAAGGGGGGGGGGAGATAAAGTAAAAAGTTTTAATAATGATAAAACTAAATTATGAAAGATAAAAAATTGTATTTCTACAATAGTGTAGGTGTGTAATGTGCATTCTAAGTAGGAGGAGGAGGGGAAGGGGAAGATAAAGTAAAAAAGTTTTAATAATGATAAAATCAAATTTGGAAGATAACAAATATTATTTCTACAAAAGTGTAGGTGTGTAATGTGTATTCTAAGATCCTTGACACTTGCCCATATCAAAAGTGTACAATGTACATTGTACATCAAATTAAATTTTGCCTTAAATGTAATCTATGTATAAATTTGGCTTGTCTGTTTGTCTGTTTGTATCCAATAAACGTCAAAACAGCTAAACCGATCGGGCCCAAATTTTTTGTGGGACATCACGTGACCACAGGGAAGGTTTATGAATGATAAAAATTTTAAAAAAATGTGTTTTAAAGGTTTTTTATTTTGTAAAAAATTTTAATTCTTGAAAATCCGAGAATTTTTTTTAAATCCGCAAATTTTTTTTCTTCTTTTTTTTTAAATGTAAACAAGAAGAACATGTTCACAATTTAAATAGAAGATGGGCGCGAAGCGGCCTAAAAGCCTAGTAATATAAATTTCAATAATGTTAGTTTTACTTGATTAACTAGACCGTTATGGTAAATCCAGAACTTCAGAATTTAAATGATAATTGTTTAAATTAGAAAAAAAATTATATTTTGGTGACTTACTAGTGTTGCTAGTCACATAATATGTGACGAACTGGTAGGGCTGATAATCGTTTTAAAACTTCAATTTTAAGATCAAATGTTTTCCTGGAATATTTTAGGAGCTGCACAATGATCCACACAATGGTAGAAGTCTAGGATCTCTTCAAAACAGGTTTCAGAAGTCTTGGCTTTACTTAAAACCTAGAAAATATAATTAATTAATATGAATTAAAAGACTATTTCCATTAGCCAAAGATAAAACAGTACTATATATTGATTGGTAATTCATGCTGTGTACTCTCCACTGTATGCGCATGCACACCTCAAATCAAACAGTTGTTTTTCGAAAAAATGAATTTACACAAAAATAGGATAGGTTGGGGGCTGGGAATGCCCCCCAGCTATTTCTTTTCAGTAAAACCGGAGAGAAAGTACTCAAAACCATGTTTTTATTTTAGCAAGAACACTCCCTTTATTTGCTGAGCATAGAAACTTACTCTTTCATTACACTCGTCTAGTCTAGCCTTGTATGATGCACACTTGGTCTCAGCACACTCCTCCTTTAAAGTAGCTGCTGGGTCAACAAGGTCCTCCTCCTCCTCCTCCTCCTGTATATATTAAGGTTAAATATATGGTTTTATATTTAGAGTAGCTGCTGGGTCAACCAGGCACTCCTCCTCCTCCTCCTCCTGAATGTATCCGTGTTAAATATATGGTTTTATATTTAGAGTAGCTGCAGGGTCAACCAGGTCCTCCTCCTCCTCCTGTATATATCAGGGTTAAATATATGGTTTTATATTTAGAGTAGCTGCAGGGTCAACCAGGTCCTCCTCCTGTATATATCAGGGTTAAATATATGGTTTTATTTAGCTGCTGGGTCAACCAGGCACTCCTCCTCCTCCTGAATATATCAGTGTTAAATATATGGTTTTATATTTAGAGTAGCTGCTGGGTCAACCAGGTCCTCCTCCTCCTGTATATATCAGGGCCGGTTAAATATATGGTTTTATATTTAGAGTAGCTGCTGGGTCAACCAGGTCCTTCTCCTCCTCCTCCTCCTGTATAAAAGCAATTAAGAAAAGGAATCTGTTAAGGTGTACACTTTTTCCCAGGCAATCAATATCATAAGAAACGTTTTCAAAGACTTCTTGTGTATACACCGTTTTGTCCGTGAATTGCGCATGTCCCTCTTAAATTGGAGTGTTATGAAAGTCCTTTTAGGGAGAAATATTTTAAATCTGGAAAAATTCTAACGTTACAGTTAATAAAACATCAAGAAGATCTTACAAGTTTTAAAAAGTTCTAAAAAGTTCTTAAAAGTTCTAAAAAGTTCTAAAAAGTTCTAAAAAGTTCTTAAAAGTTCTAAAAAGAGTCCAAAACGGTTCTGAACAGGTTCTTAAAAATTCTAACCTCCTCTGCCTTGAGGCTGATCTTAGCGATGATTTTTTCCGCGACCTCGGTAGCCATCTTAAGAAATATTCAACCTGAAACAAGGTTACAGTGTACACGTCACAAATAATAGTGTACAACAGTGTACTTTTTACGGTGTACACAGTACACTACATTTAATAAAGCGAGAGCCAATAACAAATCAAGATATATCAATCAAAAGCAACTAAACGCATCATGTTTTCTAATTGGCGGGGTTTAAATTTTCTGTACTGTATGTATGTACAAGTGTGCACTGTATGTACACTGTACAGTGTACAAAACAGGAATGTATTATATAAATTTATGCTTCTTAAATGCAAACAAAATAAGTTATGATTCATCTAATCTTAACAAAAACAAAAGGAAATTGATATTTTTGATCAAAGCTAAAATCAGTTTCCTAGTGAACTGCGTACTAGCTGCGTACGGAATAGTTTAGGAAAAACATGAACGCTTGACATTTTAACTTAATTAAAAATAATAGAATACAGTAAACAATCACAGCGATAATTAACAAGCACTAAATTATAAATTTTCATACAGTAAAACCCTTAATAAAGAATACATCGGAAGAATTTATCAAATGTCGTCTTGACAATTTTTCAATGAGTTTTATACTATATTACGTAAATTTCAGTATTTGCAAAAATAAATAAATAGACATGAATATGCGGGAACGGTTTTAAAGAGTTCCATATAATCATTTTATTAAAAAACTAAATATCTGCAACATTCCATTATCAGAAAGTGAAGAATACTACATTTGATGAACTCTTTCGATGTATTCGTTATTAAGGGTTTCACTGTATAATAAGATAAACTGAATCTTCAGTTAGGATGATATTCAAGATCTGATCCAGATCTGATCATCAATCCGGGTCTAGAGCTAGATCTCTTAGAAAGTGTGCGCGTTCCTGCATATTCCGCATCCTAGAGCAAATTCTTCTCCTGTAGGGGGATGCATGAGGTTCAGGGGGCATTCATCACCTTCTATACTCAGAGCCTGAAAAAGTTCATTTTTTCAAAAATCCTCCACAACTTCAGCAGAGACAGTATTTAAATAAACATTAATGAAACTCTTTTTTATTTTTGTGGAAGAATGAATTAACAGATTGAACAAATAAACAGAAATAGAACAGCAAAACAGTTAATTTTAACTATTTTCAAAATTCAGCGTTAAAAGACGCCAATCATGTCCAAATTCTTGCTAGAAATTATAAAGTGGTGGTAGGCGATTATATCAATACATGAAGACGACTTTCTAATTAAATTTTGATTTGTGTCAAACAGAATGGATAGACAAACATAGAAGTCAAGAGAACCTGTCATTTAAAAATCTACTCTTTGATTACTCGTAAACTTGTAATTCGAAAATACATCAAAACTTAAATTAAAAAGTCGTCTACATGTGTTGATATAATCGCCTACCACCGAATATAAAAAATTTGTTGTACTGCTAATATTATCTGTATGTACGGTACGGTAAGTTTACCTTCGGTCCAACAGGACATTGTGGTAGTTCTCCTTTAGGAATATTCGCTACTCGTTGGAAATCATCATGACAAGGGTTACAGAAATGGGTAGTTCCTAAACATAATTAGATAAACTTTAGGGATGGCTCAGGTTATTTCATTTTTTTTTTTAACTGGCATGTCCGATTCACAACAGAATGGGGTTGCTCTTGAACATTTAGTTCAGAAGTATCAGAAGTGAATTTTTCATTAAAATTTAATCATTAAGTGACAAGTATTACAGAAGTGAATTGTTCATAAAAATTTAATCAAGAAGTGACAAGTATTACAGAAGTAGATTGTTCATGAACATTTAATCAAGAAGTGACAAGTATTACAGAAGTAAATTATTCATGAACATTTAATCAAGAAGTGACAAGTATTACAGAAGTGAATTGTTCATAAAAATGTAATCAAAAAGTGACAAGTATTACAGAAGTGGATTGTTCATGAACATTTAATCAAGAAGTGACAAGTGTTACAGAAGTGAATTGTTCATGAACATTTAATCAAGAAGTGACAAGTATTACATAAGTAAATTGTTCATGAATATCTAATCAAGAAGTGACAAGTATTACAGAAGTGGATTGTTCATGAACATTTAATCAAGATGTGACAAGTTTTACAGAAGTTAAGTGTTCATGAACATTTAATCAAGAAGTGACAAGTAATACTGAAGTGAATTGTTCATGAACATTTAATCAAGAAGTGACAAGTATTACATAAGTGAATTGTTCATGAAAATTTAATCAAGAAGTTACAAGTATTACAGAAGTGGATTGTTCATGAACATTTAATCAAGAAATAACACGTATTACAGAAGTGAATTGTTCATGAATATCTAATCAAGAAGTGACAAGTATTACAGAAGTGGATTGTTCATGAACATTTAATCAAGAAGTGACAAGTAATACTGAAGTGGATTGTTCAATGAACATTTAATCCTGAAGTGACACGTATTACAGAAGTGATATGTTCATGAACATTTAATCAAGAAGTGACAAGTATTACTGAAGTGGATTGTTCATGAACATGTAATCAAGAAGTGAACAAGTATTACTGAAGTGGATTGTTCATGAACATTTAATCCAGAAGTGACAAGCTTAATTTAGCAATTTTTAACAAAACTTGTCCAAAGTCCAAACAATTATTTTATTTTGATATCTAAGATATTTGCCCTACTATCTGGATACAGAATTGGTCCTAAATGCGTGAAGTATCATGAGTTTACCAAAGCAGAAGAAGACAGCTACTGAGCAGCAGTATCTACATTTATACTCCAGGTAATCGGTTCCATGCTTCGGGCACATCTGGGCCTAACAATTAACTAATATGAACACTTTTTTCATTTTAAGGGACTGTAAGCAGAGCCTGAGATTTAAAAAAAATCGGCAAAATACGGCTCGGATCTAAGCTGTCGGTGGGTCTTATTTATGGCTTGAGCTTTCGGATTCAAGCTGCATCTTATTTTCCACAGAGTTGAGTTAAAAAAAACGGTTGAAAATTCTTTTTGGCGGATTTTCAAGGTAGGAATTGACGCATTTTTTTATGAGCACAATACTCAACATTGAGCCTTATTCTCCACTAAAACCAACCTAGGTCGGTTTTATTTTCATTTGGTCTCCCTATCTCTGCTGGGGTACTTGAAAACCAGGATATGCTGGGGGGGGGGGGCAATTTGACCCCCCCCCTAAATCCCATGTTTGATGTCCAAATATGACAAATGATACATCATTGGAAAGCTCTTGTGCTCTAAAATTGCAAATTTGCAAAAATTGAATTTTTTATCGCAAAATCCAGTTATATAGTAAAAATGTTTGCAAAAAAAATTTGTCCAAAAAATGAAAAATTATACATTTTTGAAAAGCCCCTGACGATGCCATTTCAAATATGCAAAAATTTTTGCAAAATTTTAAATAACCTGATTTTTAATCAAGAAAAACTGAAAATGTGCAAATTTCCTTTGACAGGTTGTTTGCAAAAAAATTGCAATTTTTTTCGCAAAACTTGTGCAATTCGGCTTCTTATGTCAAAGGCTTTCCAAAAAGCTAAATTTTATCAAAATCTGACAAGTGGAAGTGGGTCAAAACAAAGATTTAGTTTGTTACAGGAAAAAGCAGTCATTCAGGCAGTGCAAGCAGTTAGTATTAAAGCCCGGTTTTCGGCCTAAAGGGAGGGCTTTGGGTATGTAGGAAAAGTCAGAAAGCTTCAACAGCCTCAGACCAATACTTTTTGAGTTATGTAAAAAAAACTACAGTGGGGGGGGCCAAATTGCCCCCCCCCCCCAGCAGGAATAGGGTTAAGTCAAGCCGAAAATCTTACAGCTGTCAATCACGTGACACAAACTGTCGTCAGAGTTGGGTTTAAGATTGGGTCTTAAAGTCGGGTTAAAGGAATTATGACTTTAGCCGAAGTTTTTAAATTGCGGGCTCTGTAAGCGTAATTTCAGCTGACCCTCCATGCAAAGATGACAACCGAGTCTAATCAAGTGCGAACTAGTTATGCATGTTTTTGTTTCTTTAAACTGTTCTTTTTCAATCGCGGGTTCTCTGCAAGAGTGACTTGCGTATTTCTTGTTTTTAGTAAACAATCGAGATATTCACAGAAATAAACACTTGTAGAGTTAGAAAAACGACATTAACCACATTTTTGATGAGATTTAGTTACCAAGGATACCGTTGTAAATCGGTTATTGTTATATTTGCACGGAGTAAAGAGTCACTTATAATTACGCGTACAATTCTTTTAACAGAAATAGATTATAAAATTGGAAATATCAAAATGATATGAAATAAATGCAAAAAATACTTATGAAATGAAATTTAGGAATACCTGGGACACATCACTACAGCCTCCACAAACCAGCTCCTCAGGGTTAAACATATCCCCCCCGCCCACCTCCTGGTCACATCTATGCAATACATTAGGGTTAAATAACGGAAAAATGTTAAATAATTATTATCATCCGTAACAAAATATTTAATGATACCTTGCTTCTCCTCCGAAATAAGATTTTCCACACTTAAAGCAGACGTAGTAAGCATACCGATCCATTGAAAATCCTGAAAAGAAATAAATTCAAAACGGTCGATTAAATGAAGTCATTCACAGTTGTACCCTTTACATTCAAAATGATAAAATATGAAAAATTTCACAAAAACTATTTTAGCATAATTAGCCGGCTTGTCTGATTCACAACGGTGGTTTCTTATCAACAATTTATGAGTTATCAATTTTTTCAAATTTCAAATTGATTATCTTCAATTGTGGTTTCACTTTATAAATGGCTTGCGGATTTCTGCTTTACAGAAACAAAGTAGTAAATTTTAAAAACATATTTCAAGCTATAAGAACGACGATATCTTCTACATTAATTACCGTTGAGTAATAGACATGCCCCTTTTTACATTAATAATTGATTTTTATATTAATAGTCAATTTTTTATATTAATGGTCGATTTTTATATTAATGGTCGAATTTTTATATTAATGGTTGATTTTTAAATTAATGGTTGATTTTTTATATTAATGGTTGATTTTTATGTTAATAGTCGATTTTTTTTATTAATGGTTGATTTTTATAATAATAGTCGATTTTTATATTAATGGTCGATTTTTTATATTAATGGTTGATTTTTATATTAATGGTTGATTTTTATATTAATGGTCGATTTTTATATTAATGGTTGATTTTTATATTAATGGTCAATTATCATATTTATGGTTGATTTTTATATTAATGGTCGATTTTTATATTAATGGTTGATTTTTATATTAATGGTTGATTTATATATTAATGGTCGATTCAAAAAACAACAATATTCCCTTTATCAGGAGTAAAACCAACCTGTAGGATTATTGAACCATCTTGCTCCCGGGGATACAACAGCTTCACATCTACTTAATCCTTCATATTCTAATCTCATCAGGGCCTAATCAAGTTGGCAATGTAATGATTGTTATAATAACAATGACAAATACTTGGCTTGGTGATCATTCATTATTCTTCCCAATGTCATCGAAGCCAGTGACAAGATGATAAATTATATTTGATTTGAATTTTTCAACATAAAATATTTTTTAATTATTTTAAAAAGGCATTATTCTTAACCGATTGTAATAATAAAAGCAATTACGGTTAAACTTCGATTCTTAAAATATGACTTGAGCTCCCTTACATTTAAGTTAACAAGTTACATTAATAGTTTTTTTTTACAAAAAATGTAAATTTTCTTGACTTACTTTCTTCTTGACATCTTGATAAAGTGCACTGATCGGGTTTATTAGATCCTCCAGGGCAGGATGGTTCATATTAACCTAGATGTAGAATGTAGATACACATAATAGTCAGTCATATCAAGTCAAATCAAGTCAAATCAAGTCAAATCAAGTCAAATCAAGTCAAATCAAGTCAAATCCAAGTCAAATCAAGTCAAATCAAGTCAAATCAAGTCAAATCAAGTCAAATCAAATCAAGTCAAATCAAGTCAAATTAAGTCAAATTCAGTCAAATCAAGTCAAATAAGTCAAATCAAATCAAGTCAAGTCAAGTCAAATCAAGTCAAATCAAGTCAAGTCAAATCAAATCAAGTCAAGTCAAATCAAGTCAAGTCAAATCATGTCATGTAATTTCTCTATAGATCTGTAAATATTGATATATATGTTTATTATTTACCTTACAAATTGGACATTGTGTAAACCCAAAAGTTATTCTAGGGCCCGGCCATCTTGCTTTCAACACACCTCTGAAAAAAAAATTCAGATATTTTTGTTTCAATGTTATTTTTGATTTACAGATAAAAATAATAAAGACGACGACGACTTGAGTAAATTTATTTTAAAGGATTATTTGCCTTATTGAATTTTCGAATTTTACTCAGATTTGTTCTGGAATTAGAAACTCTTATGTGAATGAATAACCAACATGCAGTGCAATTTAGATTTTTGGGATTGCTTGACATTTGCTCAACTAAGATGTCTCAAAGATCAGAAATTGATTCGTTAATTTCTGTCAAAAAAAAAACACCATGCGGTTACCAGAAAATACGAGTTTATAATAAATTTCGATAAATTTAAAACTTGATTTTTGCACAACGATGTCCAAGTGATTGTAACTGAAGTAATCAAAATATTTCGAAACGATTAAATATTTTATCTTATCTAAAATTAAACAAAAATATTGATCAACTCATCAAAATTTATTTATAAGAAAATCGGGGCTTGAGAGAACAAACATATGGTTACGTTGACAGAACATTTGGCATATTTTCAAATTTTTGGACAATCCCTTAAGTTAAGAGAACCGAGAGAAAAATTTTAAGAAGATCTAACCTGACACAATTGTAATGGAAGACATGTCCACAGTGAAGCAGGATGCTAGGAATAGGATGCAGGGCCTCAGTGAAACATATCATACACATATCATCCCCATCCTAAATATTATTTATAATGTACTGTACATACACATATCATCCCCATCCTGAATATTATGTATAATGTATTGTACAAACACATATCATCCCCATCCTGAATATTATGTATCATGTACTGTACAAACACAGTTCATCCCCATCCTAAATATTAAGTATAATGTACTGTACAAACATATTTCATCCCCTCCCCCTGAATATTATGCATCATGTGCAGTACAAACACATATCATCCCTATCCTGAATATTTTCTTTTTCATCGGTTCATTATCTGGATGTTTATCATTGTTTTAATAATTTTACCTGTTTTAAGATATCATTATCTTATTAACATTTTTATAATTTAACCTGTTTTAAGATATCATTTTTATCATTTTAATAATTTTACCTGTTTTAAGATCTCATTTTTATCACATCCACGTAGACAAGGTAAACAAACAGCTTCTCCTGATAGTACAATGTTTTCAAGTTTTTAAAAAATATTTTTTTTTACAATTTTTGCATTTTATTTTTGGTGCAGTATACAATAATCATTTCTGATGATAAAAGCAATGCTTTTTGAAACTTTTTTTTTCCTGTAATAAAAGCGTTTTTTTAAAAAACATGCATAACGTTTAAAATCTTTTGTTAATTATGATTTGTTAAAGCGTTTTAAGTGAGAACATTCTTTAAAATGAACATTTTTAATGATAATGTTAATTTCCTACCAGCAAGTCCGCCACACGGGTGACCGCAGGGGTTCAGTTTAGTACACGCTAGTTTAGCATTCTCCTGGCATTCTTCTTCTGTACATACTCCTTCATGTACAGGCAGTGCAGCACAACTAGACCCTCCACAGTACCTACAATACAAGGTATAGTTCTTCTGTAGTTACTCATTCATGTACTGTACAGGCAGAGCAGTACAACTAGACCATCCACAGTACCTACAATACAGGATATAGTTCTTCTGTACACACTCCTTTTTGTACAGGCAGTGCGGCACAACTAGGCCCTTCACAGTACCTACAATACAGGACATAGGTCTTCTGTACATACTCCTTCGACCTTCATGTACTGTGCAGGCAGAGCAGTACAGATAGACCCTCCGCAGTACCTACGTTACAGGATATAGTTCTTCTGTACATACTCCTTCATGTACAGGCAGAGTAGTTAAGCTAGTTCTATAGTGAATAAAAAGAAATATTCTTAACAAGGCTAGCTTATCCTAGGAAATGCAGGAGAACAGGGCCTGCGCAAGAATCATACATCGAACCAACTAATTAGTATTTAACTAGCTATAATAATGTGAGAATTGAGATTGCAGGAATGAATGCCAAGATAAAGTAAATTGTTAAGACGAATGTAAGGATGAATGAAAGATAGTAAGAATGAATCTGAAATAGGGCTGGATGAATGAATCAGATACAGGGCTGGATGAATGAATCTGATACAAGGCAGGATGAATGAATCAAATACAAGGAAAGGTGAATGAATCAGATACAATGCTAGATGAACGAATGAATGAATGAACTAACCTGCACACAGCTTCAACTAAGCTAGATCCCTTCCTCGTAGGCTCTTCGCGGAACTCTATCATACCCTGAACAAACAGAGTTATCATTAAAATATTATGATATTATCGTTTATGGCACTCTAGGAACCAAAGAACAATCCAACCATCTACAAACCAACCAACCAACCAACCAACCAACCAACCAACCAACCAACCAACCAACCAAACGACATCCCGCCAACCCACATCGATCCACCCTGCTCATAAACAGTCTTATCAATTTTTAAGACAAGTTCGACCTTGAAGTGTCGTAACGCCTTGGGCTTAGATTTTACCGCTCTTACTTATGCTTTTCTTTAAAGCTCTTTTCATGTGAATTGCACTATAAAGCACTTGTTGTTAGCTTCGATTTTTAAGAAGTAATTGGCAAAATTCTCATTGTTTTTTGCCAAGAGCGTGAGATCTTTATATGACAGTGAACCATTGTCCCGACAAACCAGGAGTCAATTAAAGGGACTGTAAACGTAATTTCAAGTAACTGACATGTCCCATTCACAACGGTACACTTTAAAGCTTTGTACGAGGGGGNAGAGGGGAGAGAGAGTGGTCTATAAAATAGGTGTTAAGATTTTCCTACCTTCAGAGTTGCAGCATCTGCTGCTGCTGTCAACCAGAATAATTTAGTTCGACCACATCCTTCATGCAGGTTCACCTTAATAATAATAATATTAAACAAAGATGGTCATCATATAGAAGAAAAAAACATTTGCCTTAGTTGGCAACATTTTTTTTGACTTCGATTGATTCTCAATTTAAAATGGTTTGTTATTAATTTAAACTTTAATCTTAATAATTTTTTTGGTAATTTGTTATTAATGTTTTGCTGAAATAAGTAATTAAGTGACGTGTACTTTCTAAAATTTATGACATCCCCCCCCCCCTCTTAAACTGATTATTCAGCTCAAACCGGAATTTTCAAGTCTATTTATATTTGCAACGAGATGGTGTAAATCTTTGATAAAGTAGATTTCATAAATTGAAATATCTAAGGTCTAAGACACCAGGTTGCTAAGATCCAACAATTGGAAAATTTTATTTTGAGGGAAGTAATTTGTTTCTTTATCTTTCCTACCTTGATTGCCTCCTCCTCCTCCTTGAACACCTGGCGGGAGTGAAGACGAGTTTTCCGGTTCAAATGTAGAAACCTAGACAACGGGCAAGTTAAAGGGACTAATTTACTGCAATTTCTTTGGAAGTTTTCCGCAGACTGAAAAACATTTTATGTTAAATAAGGAACCTATGAAAATCCAATTTCAGATGAAATTTGCAACATTTTTACGTATAAAAATGGTATTCTCATTTGACAATTTTAGTTAATTAACTTTGATTTTTCACAGTTCAAAGTGGGGATTTACATGGATATCAATCATCAAGCATTTAGTATTTGCCAACATTGCATAAAACTTCTTAATTTTCTGTCAAAATTTGATCAACAAGAAAACTCAGATTTTTGATAAAAAAAGAGAAAACGGATGCATGATGTTAGCTTTAAGAAGAAAATTTATTTTAAATAGTTTTTCCTAAACCTGAAGATTAGTAAAGTAAATAAATCTGACCTGTCACAGTCCGCACACAGGTTTCCACAGGAGTCGCAAAGTATAATTGCCAATGTTTCTCCGTCGTCGTGGTTGTCGCAGATAGGGCGGTCCTGGCCAGCACCACCCCCTCCCCAATCCCCGCTAGACAATCCATCAACGTGATCCCTTAATAATTAAAAAATATTACAAATTCTTATTCCTTCTTATCCATTCATATCCATTCATATCCATTCATATCCATTCTTATCCATTCATATCCATTCTTATCCATTATTATCCATCCTTATCCATCCTTATCCATTCTTATCCGTTCATATACGTTCATATACATTCTTATTCATTCTTATTCATTCCTTTTAATTCTTATCCATTCTTATCCGTTCTTAATTGTTTTTATCCATTCTTATCCATTCTTATCCATTCTTATCCATTCTTATCCATTCTTATTCATTCTCATCCATTCTCATTCATTCTCATTCATTCTCATTCATTCTTATTCATTCTTATTCATTCTTATTCATTCTTATTCATTCTTCATCTGGCTTCCTGTTGGATTCAAGGGACTGTTCACTCATATATCAAACAATCCGGAATACAACATTATCCATTCTTATCAATTCTTATCCATTCTTATCCATTCTTATCCATTCTTATCCATTCTTATCCATTCTTATTCATTCTTATTCATTCTTATTCATTCTTATTCATTTTTAAACGTTTTTATTAATTTTTATTTATCCTTATCCATCCCAACCATAAGATCCTTCCATTCATTTCCATCCATCTTTTCCATGGCCATCTCGGATTTCTAATCCATTTTATGAATGAATATAAATGAAATATCAATTTTAAACTTACCTATGCAGAACAGTTAGGGCTGCTGTTGCTAACCACAAGGTTCCACACCTCAACCCGTCCTCAGGATGCCTCTGCTCAGCCTCTAACCTCGTCAAGTTCAATACAGCCTCGGCTATTCCAGACTTACTCACGTTGGTCCAGTCTTCTGAGAACTTTCCCTTTAGGTAAAAACAAAATCAAAATACAAAAATAATAATAATCAATATATATTGTCTTTATATATATAAAGTAGTAATCTCAATTTGTCTGCCTGTTTGTTTGTTTGTTTGAATGTCCGATCATAACTAATGAACCCCTGGACCGATTTGTATCAAATTTTGATTGGGTAACTTGGTAAAACATCGGGAATAAGTTGGGTTCACAAGTTCAAAGTTGAGTTTGTTGAATTTTTATGGAAAATTTAGTTAATCCTATAATAAACCAGCTTGGGAACCAAGCTTTGACTAGAAACAAAACATTTTGCTGCTGATAAACTGCTTTAAATACCTGAGTCATCTCTTTTAGTAACAATATTATCTCCTCTGCAATTTTCTTGGATATGGATCCTCGGAGCCACCATCTAGCTCCAGTATTATCTCGGGGATGGATACAAGTACCAAGAGAGACCGTTGATACACTTCGTCCTAGAAAACATTTAGACACTTTGGTTCTTTTAACTTTTCATGTGGACTTGGGTCATGATGAAAAAAAATACGCACATCAGAAATCATATCAACAAAAATAGAAAAACTGAAATTTAGGCTAATGAAAATAGAAAAAGAAAAAATGGAAACTTTTAGATCTAAATAGGAATCTTCTATGAATGTGATCCAGACATAAACATAATAAAAAAACGTAAAGTAAAAATAGTTAAAATGAAATAATGGGTTAGTTTGCGGGAAGAATTTTACCTGATTTAATCAATGCAAAATAAGCAACTTTTTGTTGAACAAATAGCACAAAAATAAAACTAACAAAAAACACTCATATTTTCCTTAAGCTTCTGTAATCATTTTTAATAATGAAATTCAAAAAAAATGATGTGACAAAGGTAAAAATAACTTCAAGAAAAGTACCTGAATTGCTCTTCTTCTTGACCTGGATGCTGAGTGCCTTGGCAATACAACCAAGGAAAATATCCAGGATCCCAACCTTGTGGGGATCAAACTTAGGCAGCTCCTTGTTATCATTTCCTCTTGTAGAAGCAACATTTAAAATGCTGAAATCCCTTGGAGGAAGGCTAGTAAGGTTCAGAATATTAGCAAATCTAACTGGAGGAACAAGAGGAAGAACTCGCCTGAGAACTGAAACAACAGCTCTTTGAACCCTAGCTGACCCAGTGTGGAGAAAACTTAACATATCCTTGAGTAGAGAATACTGTTGGGACAGGTATATACGTCCAACTTTGCTTCCGCTTAGAGCAAGCACCATAGATAACATCTCAAAGCAGTAAGTATCAGAGAGTTTGAGAACTTGTTCTTGGTCCACACTGCCAATCCCTGAACACAATGACAGTTCCCAGTCATCCCTGAGACATCCAGCCTCTTTAGATATAGCAGATACAATGTGTGAGCACACTTGCTTTTGCAGATGGCTCAGTTTAGATCTTGAAAAAAGTATTCCAACCACATGCTCCTTTAGGTCTGTGCCATCCCACTGATCTAAACCAGGAGCATCAATATCTGATTCTGGTTCTAGAAGTTTGCCAAAGACCTGACTTGTAATAAGTCTAAAAACACGCAGAGTTTCAACTTCACAGTTGGATTGCTGGATGCGCTGTGAATCTGCTCGGTTTGGTAGGAACGGAGAGGGGAAGTCATTTGATTTACCAATTAACTTGACTTGTCTCAGTCTAACAGTATTGTCTGGCCCCTTAATCTCTATTTTAAGATACTGATTATCATTGTCTGTTAAGAAACATGTTACCCAACCAGCAAATCTACTCTCTATGTCAACATTCCTTAAAACAGTCAGATCATCAATAGATCTCCCAGATTTAAAAGTTAAGGATGAAACCTTATTTCCTATATCTCTTCCATTATCAACATGAACAGAGACAGATCTGGGTTGATTTGCCACACCACATTTCAAGGAAACATACTTGGTCTTGTTTCTATCTTCATCCCCACTTTCCCAAAATGTTTCAGTGCTTCCGTCTGTGAGACTAGCAATCATAGCTGGTCTTGAAGACACTGACAATTCTGCTACATTAGTCAGATCTTTCCACTGCTCCACTCCCGCTCCACTAAAGCCTCCTTTGGGAGAATGATCAAGTTCTAAATCTGTTTCACCTCGTGACAGTATCTTGCTGATTGTAGAAAAAACTTGAGATTGGTGAAGGAATGAATGATCAGATGGCCAAAACTGAATGGAGAAACATGTTACTGCTGCTTGCTGTAATGCTGATCCTAGAGGAAGTAAAAGCATCAAATCAGAAATAGTTTGCAGAAGAATATGGAATGTAGATGGGAGTGATTTGACAGCTCCACCAACTAGGCAAAGATCTGACATAGGATGTTCAAAGCCAATGTCCTTCTCCTTAACACCCCCTAATATAATGTCATCTCCTTTCTCTTCATCTTTCTTCTTAGGAAGAGATTTAGAATCTTGTAAGGAAGAGATGAGACACCAAAGTAAATCATGGAGACAAACAGGTTGACTTACTGACCTTAACAACCAGTTAAAGGCTTGCATTGCATAGGCTCTACACACAGCTTTTCTTAAAGTAAGTTGCATTGCATTCTGTAATGCCTCAAGATCATTCCATCGCATTATGAAAGATATAACAGGGGAATCTAGGAGTTTTGTAGATATTGAACCCTGTTCAAACAATCTTTTCCATGCTGGAGAAGTATGGGCAAGAAACTCAGATGAGCTAGAAGTCTTACTATTTGCATAGTCTTCATAGCTTGAATTTCTTTTCCTACTTGAAGAAGGGCTCCACTCCTTGCTTTTGGGACTTCCAATAGAATATGACCTATGAAACTTGCTCCTTCTTAAAACAGTTCTGTCTGATTGTGTTGATTCGTCAGATTGGAACTCTGCTGGTGGATCAATTTCTGATATTTTCTCAACCAAAACAGAACCCTCTTTAGACTCAGGATCCTTTGAAACCTCCCTAGATCTATCTCCATCACTATTACGACTTGAAGATGCCCTAGTAGGGTACTCCCAGTCTAGTGAGGTCTGGAGGTTGTCTTGTAGCAGAAGTTCATTGTTCAATTCTTTTAGTTCAGAGTCCTGAACTCCCAGGACATCTAGACAATTAAAGGGAATGTATGGGAAGATTCCAGGATCTCCAGGAATTAGCTCTGTAACAGTTTCAAGCTCAGACTGAGCAATTCTTCTAGAGTGATCTTCCTCAGTACTGCTGGCTAGGTCAAGAAGGAAACTAGAATTGGCTTTCATGACAATGTGACAATCTAATGGTCCCACAGGAGAGCTAGCTGTAGCATAGGAAAATGAGGCAAGCATAGATGGCAAAGGAACAAGATCTATCTTCTCCTTATCTTTCTTGTCCCCATGTGAAAAATGTTTCATGTTCAGTTCATTCTTACCATTAAATTTCTTTCGGTGTTTGTCCCTACAGTTTTCACAGATAAGATACCATGATGAGCCACCTCCTCCTCCATCTCCACAGTTCCCTGCCCAACCTCCACAATACTGACCACTAGAGTTGTATCCTTTGCCTCCAGCATGGTTTCCACAGCCTGGATGTGCCATCTTCATGTGGTATGTAACTGGTGGTTCAAAATATCCTCCACAGATATCACAGAGCCAATTATCACAAATTCCAGCAAACTGTATCAAGCCTTGGATCTTGTCATCTTTGGACTTTTCACAATTAAATGGGTTGTTCATTTGATTGCTGGAGAAAACTGCACCAGCATCTCTATTATTTTTTAAACCTTTATCTGGACCTTTGTTAAACTTATCCTTGCCCCATTGATTGACAGGGCCTTGAGATATTATTGTATCTAGACATGTTAACACAACACCTTCCCACAACAATACAAGCTGTCCAAGGGTTTGAGGAAGGCCTGGAACAACTTCATTGCTGACTTTAGGATTTTCAACCTTTGGAATAGCTCCACCTAGTCCTGGCAAGTCACTAACATTTTGAGGAATGTTCATGTTCCTATTTGCATTAAATGGATATTTATCTGCTGCAGCACTGGTTCCAGCATTGAGATAAGAGGCTGATATAACTTCAACAGAATGGCGCTGTTTTACCTTTTGAACAATGACTTCATCTTTCTCCTCTGTTGTTGCAAAAGGAGTTTGCTCTGTAGTCCCTTCCTTTAAATATCCTGGGTTGAATTTAATAAAAGAAGCACATGCCATTGTATCTTGAACAATCCCAGAATGCCAAATAAATGCGGCAAAAACAGCTCTTATACTCTCAGCAACTGAGGGGCTCATGGCTTCAGTAACAGGGCCTGAGAGGTTAGTGTAACTCAGCCTTGGTTTGGGAAATGGGTCTGGCTTAGATTGAATTGACTTTTCTTTAACAGATGGCGAGTTTTCTTTGATTTTAACAGGAGGATTGTTACTCCTAACAACATCTTTTTCCTTGATGTCTAATGAAGAAGTTGAAAGTTGAAAGATTTGAGAATCTTTCATTTCAGCTCTAATGGGACTTACATTCCGACTACTTGCTCCTTCAGACTGTATGATCTCTGATCTAAATGATACTGGTGACAGAGATCCATCCTTCTTGGTAAAACCAGATAACTCTTTACCAACTCCTGGGGAAGCTGATAGACAAGACATATCTCTTGTGAGACTAGAAATCATATCAGATGTGTCTGAAGGAGAAGAATTTTGCCGATGAAAGCTTGGAACTTCAATATCATCCAGAATACCAAAACTGGCAGTTAGGCTCCTTGGAGAGTACATAGCCTGGCCACCTAAACTCTTTCCATGGCCAATTGAGATAGGACTAGAACTCCTTGATCTACTCACTGCTAATTGGCTGACTGGGCCAGCAGGACTTGCAGATCTTGATTTCCTTGGTGTTCCAGGAGTGCTTGGTGGAGTGACACCATTTCCATTAGCTCTACTTGCCCCAATTACTTTAACTAATTCTTTAACAGAAACTCCCTGAAGCTCTGGTGGGATATCCTTGTTAACAGGAAATGCTTTCCTTTGAACTTCAGCTGGAGATGATCTTCTGCTATGTGAGGGGCTGCCCATTGCTCCAGATTTCTGTCCAGACTCATCAGATTTGAACCATTTTTGAAAGAAAGACTTTCTTTCTAAAGTTCCGGATCTACTTCTGGGTGGAGTACCTGGACCAGCACCCTTCCCACCTCCTTGAGCTTGGTTGAATGGTTGCCTTGGTGGTGTGACCTGTCTACCTGGTTTAGGCAAACTTTTTCTTCTGTAAATAGGAGTTGATGGACTTAATTCAAATGTTTTACTTAATGAACCTGACATTGAACTGTCCAAGGGGGAGAATGGTGTTGACAATGAAGAATTAGATGAGGATGGAAGTAAAGGTAGTCCTGGTCCCCAAACATTTTTCATCTCCTCCCCTATTCCAAAAGGTGAGAGAAAAGAACTTGCTTTCGATTCAAAATTTCCAATCACATTAGGCCATCTCTGTTCTTGTATTTCAGCCTCAGACTCTAGGTAGTGGGTATCTGTAGCAGTGACAGCCAGACTCCACACATCACCATCAATCATACCAAAACAATATTTCTCAGCAGAATCTTTATCAAATTTAACCCAACATTCTCCTGATGGATGCTCTCTTACTTCATTGACTATGATGTTATCACCCAGGGATAGAATACCTACAGGGGCTGCACTTAAGCTAGGGGCACATCTAATGTTGTGACCAGAGGAACCACATTTTACCACAGTATACATGCCTGGTCCTCTTTTCAAAGCAGAATTCTTTGAAGTGGTTTCAATATCTGATGTGAAGGTGCTCCCACTGTGGCTTTCAGGCTTTCTCTTGGGAATTGTTGGTTTTGGTTTTGTAATTGGTTCTACAATTGGTTTCATTAACTGTTTCTCATAGTGCTGGTTGTACTGCAAGCACCATCCTTCTGCATAGGGTTGAGAACAATAGTCATTTAGAGATTCTACACTTAGCCTTACCCAGATTCCATCACTGTTTGATAGTTCATCCATGATTGAAACAGTGCCATCAACTGGAACTATTCCAATCTGCTCAGACTGAAGTGTTGGATGCAGTCTAATTCTCAGACCAGCACTAGGTTTTGCAATAAATTGTCTCAATCTGTTGATCTCAGCAGAGGGACAGGTCCTCTTGTAGGGCTGAGTTGGGGGGAGCTTTCCTTGAGGTGGTTCCAGTATTTCAACCTTGTGGGACACTGGCAGATCACAACCATCCAAGGAGACATGCAGTTTGTACCATCCAACATTTCCTGGGGTCCAGTTTGCACTGTAAGTTCCATCTCCATTTGGTCTCACAAGCATATTCTCTGATTGACGCTGAAGCTTAGGGGAAGCCCAGCGCAGTTCTTCAAAGGAATAATTATCATAAGCTTTATTAACAGTGATTGCATGGTAAAACATTTTTTCCTTGACTGTAACTTCATATTTGGTGTCCAGATTTGGAGGAGAGTGTCCCCCAAATGTCATGCTATCAGGCTGCAGGGCTTTGTTCAACTTGATTGTTCCTGAACTGGAATTCATTTCATCAATAGGTATAGCTTTTACTTCAACTTTCATATTTGGCACATTTGCGATGGAGCCATACTGATCTCTTGTAAGAATAGTTATAATGGTTGGCCAGGAGCATCTCATTTCATCTGGCTTGAACATAACGCCACAGTTGTCTACAGAAATGTATGACTCAGGCTGAAGCCATGATGCAAGACGTCCTCCAGCAGTGCCAGGAGCACCAAACACAAAATCTTTCAAGAACAATCTCTCATTAGATTGACAATTCAGGGGTAGATTACCAGATAGAGCCTGGTGTATTGTAGGAAGCTCATCAATAGCAAAACCCTTCATAAGCAGGGTTGGATAGGATTCATAAAGCTCTTGAGCAGAAGCCTCAATCGAACTTTGGTCCTCAGTAGCTTCCTTAGACAGATTTAAGGGAAGTTTGATACTCTTGTTCATGAGACTAGAAGCACATAGTCCACCCAAGTATGCCAACTCATGTTCAATGCTTTTTAATCCTTCCTGTGTTCCATCTTGAACCTCATATCCAGCCACCAAACATTTGAACCCATAGTTAGAAACTTTGTTTTCTCCTTTAACATAATCACTAGCAGTCTCCAGCGAGAATAGAACCTCATTTCCAGGCAAAACAACACTCTGAGAAGGCCAACCTTTGTTTCCACTAAACTTGGTGAGAACTGGACTATATCTCTGTGATTTAAGTAAGCTGGCAGACTGACTTGTAACCAACGGACTAGATAAATTCTTGGGCCTTTGAGAGGACGGGTTTCTGATGTACATCTGTAGGGAATCTTCTGCTTGTGCTGTACAGCACGCTGAATCAAACTCAATGGCCATCCACTTAACAGAAGGAGGAAATACAACTCTATAATTAGATATTCCAGCAGGTTTGTATGGATGCTCACTTTCTACCCAAGAATAATGAGGAGCCGGGAGTTCAATGTCTGCTCCAAGGACCTCTACATTGTTTTTAAACATCTGGTTATTAAGCTCAGCAACTTTGGGCAGAAGATCCTGAATCAGTGAGATGACCTGCACAGCTGCAACTGGGTCACTACATGCCAATCCTTATTACAAAAACAATTCAACTTCTTTTGTTTACCCCAATTTTAAATTTCAAAAATGCTCACTCCATAATACAAATTGCTTTACATTTTAAATATACAGGGTAAGTCTTTTTGCAGGATTTATTTTTTTAGCTTAAAAATATTTTTTTCTTAAAAAAAATAATTGGAATTAGTTTTTTCTAGTTTATTCCAGTTTTATACAATTAGTTAGAAAACTGAAAGAAATATTAAAAAAATGCAAACAATTGTAAATGCAACTCTGCACCAAATCATAAAAAATAAAAGATAAAAAATGTATTTATACTGTTTATTAATTTTTCCTAGAAGGTTTTATTTTGCCATCTTTGCAAGATTTGGTAAGATTAGGAGCAGATTTGTATTTGATTTATAGAATTTTTTTGCGATTTAGTTTGTCATTAGATTTTTATTTAACTTTGAAATAGAATTGAATAAACATCTTTTTTAATGGATTTTTGAAAAAAAAATTGTTAACAAATTGTTTCACAAATGTTTTTAACTATGTTCCGAAATATTTGTTTGCCTCTAGTTTATTTCAAGATTTATACACTTAAAACATGAACCCTGTAAATATTTTTACAGGGTTTAGTAAAACATTGCTGATCTTGTTTTTTTACTTACCCTGTAGTTATGTTTTAAGGACCACCAAGAACTTTAGCTCTTGATCTTGAAGATTTTTTCTCAAATGAAAATAGAAATCATATCTATCTTCTGACAGATTCAAATTCTAGATATTTTAAGTCATTTTAATGCTAAATTTCAATTATCATTTAAACATATCTCAATCATATCATTTTGCCACTGTTTAACCTTTTTCCAATTGGTTAATGTTGCAAAATTAAACTAGTATGATAAAAAACTTGAAAAGAAATATTTTAGGATATTATAAATGAGTTGAACTGTTATTTTCCTGAAACACTGGCCATAACATGAGGAAGCAGAGTTGTTATGATAGGAGCAGAGTTAAGAATTTCATATCCTCGTCCCTCAGTATTCTTGGTTGCTCGAGATAAAAGCTGAGATACAGTATTCACCACAGTTACAGTAATCGACAAAGCTGACTTATGGGACATTGACTGAGCAATGTTGACAGTGGTGGCACTGATAGTTTGATCCTCCGTGGATGAGTAGTAGAGCAGATGGGGTATCTGTCCACGAGAATGGTTGGTTCCATTGAAGCTGAGGGAGCAGGAACTAAAGGAGAATGTTGTTCCGTCTGATCCTTTAACCGAGGATAGACCTTCATCTCCATTACAGGTTTGGCCTCCATGGTTGCGAAGTCTAAGAGCGTACTTTGTGTGAGGGTGAATTGTGACTGGTTTATCAAACCTAGTTAAAGGATTGTATTTATAAAACTAAATTTTAATGATTTCTTAAAAACTAGAACTTTTACTTCAAAAAATAACCTTTTTAAAAAGCCTACTTTTATCCCACGGATATCAACCCCAATTTAAAAAGAAAATTATGCCCCCCTCCCGCTCTCTAACCGGGCCAGGTTAGAAATTCATTAATACCTAACACTTCATAAGATAAGGAAAGGGTCTGAACACCCCCCCCCCCTCCCATCTTCTATAATATAAATGTTAAATAAGGCACTATAAAAAAACTTGTTTTTCTCTAAATCAAATCGAGGACATATTTCTTAAGGTAGATAATCATCAAAAACAACATTCCTATCTCCCCTTAAAATAGAGTTTAATAATAAATAAGCAAAAAAAATTATTCAAAAATGTATAAAAAAAACTTGAATTGATAATATTTAGTTTTAAATATAACCCTGCCTTATCATGTAAAGGTCGTTGGAGCACTCTTCAGCCGTATAAGTTCCATGACACATCTCCATAGATATCCATCTCTGACTTTGATTTGTATCCTTCTCTCTTTCCCTATTAGTCAGGTTTCGTAGGAGCTCCAATTCATAATCGAATGATCCTGCCCCACCATAGATAGCAGCACCAGCCATCAATATTCCAGCTCGGTCAACAGAAAAGCAGATTGCATCCGGAGATCCGTTTCCAGTGTTCCAGGTTCGGGAACTGTTCACCTTTCCAAACCGGTTTGGGGTTTGTAAACTTAAACGGTTTGCAATATTTGCCATTCCAGATTCTGAACCGTTCTTGATGTTGGATAGTTCAGATATAACACTGGCAATGAGCCGACAAGATTTGTTAACCAGTTCCTTGCTGTGAATATGAACGCTTGTCTGAAGTGCTTGTTCAACTGGTTGGGAAACTATATTCAATAGTTTACTCAAAACATCAGAGAAAGTCCAAGATCCAAACTTGGAAGCATCACTTTGTGATTGATAGTTCATTACCTCTGAGAGTAGAGGATATTTGCAGGTCGGTGACATTTCGCCAAGAAACAAAACACTCCCTGTCACTGACACATTCTCTACTGGACTCTCTTTATATTGATTCTTCTCAGGTTCATTTACTCCAATAGGGAAAATACTTCGAAGTTTTATCATAGGATTACAGAGAGCATCAATAGCAGCAGCAAGAAGCAAATCACTGTTTTTACCATCTACCTGGCTTAACAGGCTACAAAGGCAAATCCACTTCAAGGGTCCTGTTGGGTAGAATGCATGGAAACAGGAGACAAATGTTTTGTGAGCATCTTTCAGCAGAAGATCCGACATCTCCAGCGCTCTGTGTCTCATGTTGACTGGTTGACTGGCGTTTCTCAAACCAGCAAGGATTGGTAAAGGATCACTTAGGATTGCAACCAATTGGGTTCTAACCTCACAAACAGATTCTGCTAACCTCTGAGTCTCCGTCATTTGTTTCCCAACTCCTGCATCTGAGATGGGTGTAGGAGAAGGATAAATATACTCGATGTAACTGACCAGGAGACGGAGACAGGCCCGGCATATGAACACAAGCCTGTGAAGATCCATCAGAGCTGCCTGACTGGGTGATGTGTCCACTACCTCTCCTACAGTAACCTTAAAGGTTGACCAGGCCCAATGGAGAAGGGATAGAAGAGCCTGGAAGCTCTCTACTGTAACAGGTTTACCAAATTTACTTGACAGGATATAGATGGGTTCAGGAGGGGAATACTTCCGCCCGACTCCAGTAGATTCCTTAACAACAATACAAAATATAATTGGTTGAAAATTCAGTAAATTCAAAGATAATGAGCTAAAAAAAAGTTTCACATCCTTTCAGAAATTTCAGAACTATTTCTGTCAATTATGAAGTTTTATTCTTTTAGTTTTGAGACGGAAAGAAGTATTCCCTGGCACTAAAAGTTAGTAAATAACAACAATTTAGTAAAATAAGTACATGTATTAGAATATAGACTAAGACTCAATATTGATTCTGTTCTGTAATATTAAAAAAAAAACTAGGAAAAAATTTGAACAAACTTTGAGGTTTAAATTTGATTTAAATTAAGTATATGTCGTAGGAAAGAAAAATGAATAATTAAGAAAAAGAAGGCAATACCTGTGTAACAATTCGAAAGAGAATCTGTGGAATTTGACCGGCGTTCACATCAGTCCCGTTATTGGATTTCTTGCTGGACTTGAATGAGAACTGGACCTGGTCCTCTGTGGTAACTGTACCCTGCCCTGAGGACCCACAGTCACTGCTGGGACCAGATACGCGGGCCCACGCTACATACCATCTACCAGTCAATATTGGAACTGGTTCCTAGAAAAAACAAACAGATGAAAATACTCTTTAAACCTTTTTAAAATGTTTTCCTACTCAATCTTAAAAATTTTATAATGCCTTTTTTATAGCAAATTATACGCTAACAGTCACCATATTTCATTAATAATCTGAATAAAGCTAAAATAACAGGGGGAGTGGAATTCCCCCCCCCCATAAAAAAATTTTTATTTCCACCGATTCCAAGAAAAAACCCTTAATTGTTTTTATGTGATCCGCATCTGGGAAGGAAACTGATTTTTTAAGGGAGGGGGGGGACGTTACCTCAAAAAGAATTGGGTATTTTTGTCTGGCTCCACATTCATATGTGACCTCCTCTGATTCCGCCAGGAGGTCCCCATCCCCTTCCTGTTCTCCTCCTTCTACACCTACACAAGAACATCTTCAATATATTGGATATCAAAAAAGACTAAATATAATTCGAGAAGAAAAAAGTAGAAAATGAACGTACAATCAAATACCTTGAAAAAAGCAGATTAATGACTTGTTAAAAAAATTATAACCCAAAATTCTTGACTAATCTGCGACCTATGTATCTAAAACTTGTATGATCTAAAAAAACTGATTTTTTGTCATAACCTTTTAACTTGTATTACCCATATCTTCACATTCTGATGGTTTAAACCTGCATGATCTGACCGTTTAAGTTAAGAATAAGTTAAGGTTTACACTATCAGGTTGCTAGGATATTGAGAATTGGAAAATTTTGGTCAGTGTCAATAACTCTTTTCTTTTACTTACCCAGGTCGAATAGTTTTATTTTGCCGACATATTCTCCTCTTCCTCCAAACAGTCCATATCCACCAACCAGAATATCAGAATCCACAGTAAACCTAGAACATTCATTCATTCATTTATTTTTATATTACACTATTCAATTGATAATGAATAATGATTTAAGTAAATTTCATTTCATCCGGTGTGGCGTTATTTCTGGGTAAACGTTAAATAATGGTAGTAGACTCTACGCAGCAAATTTTCGCGGTATTCGCGCACAATTCTGTGAATGTAAACAGTAAATTAAGTAAAGTATTTCTCATATTTGAGAATCAATCAAGTTTTGCTGATGCGACAGACAGTAAAAATCAATTGTTTTAACATTAGGGATCAATATTACAGCTTAGTATACGTAATGTTAATTGTTAAGATTCTGATACTTGCAACTAATGAGAGTTTACTGTATAGTTAATTACTTCTGTACTCACATTATATATCAGCATGTAGTGAATATTTTAAGTGTATAAATATAATTTCTTATTATAAAATTTCAGATAAAATACCAGATTTCTGTTGTGCTCATTGCCGTAAACTGCAAAAATATGCCCGGATGCCGCGGAAAATAATGCTGCGTAGAATCTACTACCATTATTTAACGTTTACCCAGAAATAACGCCACACCGGATCTCGGATCCCGGATCCCCACAGAAAAAAAGAAAACATGAACATTTCTTTAAGAGTTACCGATTTTTCAAACAAAAGAAGAATTTGTTTTCTTCTTTTTTTCGCTTATTTATTTTGCTCACACTTGATGAACCAATTCAGAAATTAAAGAAATCCTTAAAGGGAGTGTTCGCGAAAATTTCTCCTTATTTACGCAACAAAGGGAAGTATGATTAGCAGCTATCACCATCAATAATTTTTGGCCGTAAGCATTTTTCGCGAACACTCTCTTCAATAGTCTCTCTTTTTCTCAACAGTTCAGATTTTCATTTGAGAGCAAAGTTTTTTTTTAAACAGTTGTTGGTTGATATATTTCCCCCTTGGATCCGAATACTTGGATCTGCATATTTTTGCGAAGCCGGATCCAGGAAGCAAAATGCTGAGGATATGATGGATCCGCGACCCGATTCCTTATACTTATAATAGGACACTGTATATTGTCTAGTATACCTGACTGCTTCTATACTGTGTCCACTGTACCCCCAGCCCCCGCCATGAGAATCAAATCTACTCACAACAGAAAAGTCTTCCTAAAATAAATAATACTTTTATATTACAAATCTAAAGAAAAAAATTCAGGAGATTGAGATTAAATGAGGAGATCGAGATTAAATGATAACAATTAACAATTTTTCTGCTAAAGATAAGAGATGGAGTCAATGAAAAGGTTTCTATTTATCTTAAATTTTCATCTAAACCCCTTTAATATAAAAACATTTCAATTTTTTCTAATTTTAGTAAAATTTGACCTTTACCTTCGTGAGAGATTTCATATTGTTAAGTCTGATTGAATCCTCCTCAGGTTGGGTTAGGTTGGAGGGAGCTGCTCCGGTAATAGTATCAAGACAGGATAGAAGGTTCAGTGCAGCTTGAGACCTGGAATTAATTATTTATAATAATAACCATCAACACAACAATACATTGTGCCTGTCAAAGGTCCATTGCCAGTAACTGCAACGAGATAAAGTCTTAGTTGTTTAGTAATTTTCAAGTAGTTTATAGAAGTGTCGATTACAAAAAAGATAGTTTAATAAGAAAAATACATTATTAATTTGAACCACTAAATTTATTTTCTTTTATCAGATTACAAACTTGTTGGTCCAAAAAGTAACAATTTTATTCCACACAACTGATAAGTAAATGATTGGCACTGCTCAAGTTAACCCCGCATGTGCACTGGGCATACATTTTTTGCGAAATTATTAAAGGCCCCTTTATTGTAACTTTTAAGTAAGACCCCATTTATAAATAAGAGGTGCATGTCTGATTCACCAAGTACCTTTCAACCTTTTAATTGTTTAATTCTGAAACTTCCTCCATTATTTTTACACCAGAAATCCTCAAAAATAGTAATTACAATTCACAAGAGAAAAGCATGGATAACTCATTCATTTTTTATTAAAACAAGCCAAGGTTACTGTTGTGAATCGAACATATGTCATTCTATATATGGAAGGTCTCTTGAAATTACACCTAAAATTAAATTGATGAATACCTGGATACGAGGCAGCCTGGATTTACCGGCAGCGCTAGGTCCGGAGACATAATTGACTGTTTACTTTCTACATCTATATCAGTAGCTATGGGGTTGTGGCACTGGATCGTTCCTGTTTCCGAGGTGTAGCTCCAGATAGTATTGTACAGAGGATCCAGAGCAACAGCTTTACCAGTCCACTCTACCTGATCTATAGAAGAGAAGCTCCGACAGAATCCGTCTGTCCTAAATATCAACAACAAACATAAATAAATGATAATTATTTGGGTTTGGGCCCCCCCCCCTCCCCCCCCCTTTTCTTTCCAATGCCAGGAAATTTTATGGGGAGTTGCATAATGCAAATCATTTCAGGCATCTCAAAACTTCATTCCATTTTATGGGGGAAATTTGTCAAAAAGGTAGATTTAAGTTTTAACACTGTGAAAGTTAAGAGTCCAGACGACTTACCTTGAGATACAGAGGCTGTTGAATGATGCCTGCTGAATGTTCTGTGTAGGAAGAAGAAGAACCTGATGTTTGTTCGCAACTATAGACGCTCCTCGTAGATTCTGCGCGTTTATCAAACTCTCATCAAGCTTAAACAAGGTTTGATCAGATGATGCATAGATCCAGGTTACTCCTTTACCATAGTTAACTCCTAGTCCTGGTATAATTCCAGGGAAGGAGTACCATAGTTCTATCTCTACAGGAGGGAGTTTAGAGTCCGGGGACGGGGCAGAACGTCCTAGTTGACCTTTGGCGTTATTACCCCATGTAAGGACACGCCCAGAGCAGGTGAGAGCAACTGAGTGGTATCCGCCCCCGGATATCCGGGTCACCACTTCATCCAACCCTGTGACTGGAACCGGAGCTCCACGAGGGATTAGATCTCCAACCCCTAACTGACCATAAGAGTTGGAACCAAAGGATAAAACTAGTCCTGAGCTAGACAAGAGCAGTGTATGATGTAGACCACAGGATACTGCTGTAATCCTACAGTCAGCAGGGAGCAGAACCTTCCCTGGTCCCAGGCTGCTTACTTTACCCAGATCCTTCTCATGCTCCTCCTTTGGAACCTCCTTCACGGACCCCTTTTTCTCTGGTAGAGCTACAGCAGAGAACGGATCCACATATTTTACTCCGTTTTTACTCCGCCGCGACTCCTTACCGAGTTTAGCCAGTCTGCGTTTGATGAACTTGTCTCTGTAATCCCGATTCCTGGATTGCTTGCTGGCCATCAAATTCAACCTAAAAGAGAATATTTTCAATACAGGAAAGAAGGATTCGCTACAAGATAATTGCTAATTAATCTTTAGGTGTTTTACAATATAAATATTCTCTATCTGCCAGTGAAAAAAGTTTATGTAAAAAGGACGTGGATCCCTCAAATGTCAATTTCCGAATTGCAACAAATTAAAAACCTTTTTTCGCATGAACAATCAACTGAAATCGATATTCAACAAAAAAAAATAGGAAAAAATGTAAGCACATCTTGTGTCTACCTGATAAGATTAACTACAGGAACAGCTCCTCCAGCCCCTTCTCCTCCTGCTGCAACTTCAACTCCACCTACCCCTTCAAGATCATTAATACCTTCTCCTGCACAGGTTCTACAGCAACCACATTCGGAGCAACCACTATCCCCACTTCCACATCCACAAGGAGTTCCTGGACTCCTGAATAAGTTTACAAACGTACTGCAAGGGTATATCTGCAAATTCAGAACAAGAACATAGAGCAATGGTAAATATGCAAATTTACATCAATAACTGGAAATGCTGGAAATGGACCATCAGGTTTAAAGTAAAAACACCTAAACCTTTTCTTTGGATTATGTTTATATGCCAGCTACTGCATTATATTCTCAATTTTCAGAAAATGCCACCTAGGGAATTTTGAAATCAATTTCTAAGAAATTGTATAACACTAGAATGAATGGTATGTATCAAACTGCTAACAGTCTGTAAGATGTTACTAACCTATCAGGCCGGTTTGCTGAAACACAACTTGCTCCGTATCCAGTACATTCAGCACACACAGAGCAAACCATACATTGCTCATGCTTCCAACAGTGCTTTCCAGGCAGGCACAATACATAACCTGGACACAAATCTAATATCAAAATATGTTGGGGATGTCTTTATAACATACTCTTTGTATTGGATGAAAATATAAATAGTAACACTTATGAAAAGTCGGAGAAACCTTAGAATTTGAAAACATTCTTTTCGAAAATAAAAACTATTTTTTTTGCTAAACTTTTGTTAAGCTATGTACCTGGGATAACCGACTCCGCATCTAGATCTACTTCATGATCACTAATATCCTCTCCTTCCGGCCCTGCCTCCCCTCGAGGCGGAACAACAGGAAACTCCCGCCCACACTGCCCCTTGTTGTTAATACCAAATGTGAATACGTCTCCATTGGAGCTGAGGACCACAATATGCGCCTTCCCTATGGAAACCGCTGTAACAGTTTGGTTTGCAAGATCAAGAACACGTCCGGTGCTAAAATCCGCATACGAGGAGTCCTTTCCAAACACGTAGAGTTCTCCTTTCTTCGTTACAATACAAGAGGTGCCAGAGTTACAAGCTGTGCAAAGGATTCCTTGTTTATCCATCCGAGATATCTTAGACGGTTTCTTAGCCTTCGGCGGGCGGCGGGGTTTGGATGATTGATCCCCATCCTCGCCACGTTTGGGTGTACCAGTGAAATACACCGCTCCATCATCGCCAATGAGTAAAGCATGATTGCCGTCCAGACCTATGGAAAAGTTGACAATAACGGCGCTGGAACTTTCAGATTTAGAAAACTGAACCTCACTCCACTTACCCTGAGCACAGGGATGTTTGTGTCCTATGGAGGAAGATTTACCGGTATAGTACAGTTTTCCTCCTGTTGTGAGAAGAAGAGCAAACTCTCGTCCTATCCCAACCTGAGCAATCTCCTCATCTATACCAAAATCCAACTGTGTTCTCTCTCCTCCATTCTCTTCTATTAAACTTGAACCGAACGCCTCTACACACTTTCTCGCCAGCTTTATTGGTAGATCCGCCACTACACTCATAGGGTTTGAGTTCAGAGAGAGGAATTTAATGCTCAGGGTGTCATCTCGACTTGGAGTAACAATCCCTACATGATCTCCATCACTAAGCATGAGATGGGGTGAAGGAAATCTCTCCGAGGATGAAACTGTTTTAATCTTCTCCAGGGTCTCCTTATTCAGGACGATTATCTCAATGTTTTGCAGGTTATTGGACTTGTAGAAGAGGGTGTTGGAGGAGAACCCAATCCAACCCTCGGATCCAATAAACATATCAGGCTTATGTTTGTAAACGTGTCCACGAACAGTACCGGAGAACCCTGACCCGACCTTGAATAGTCCAAGGTTGGTGTGGAGATACAAGTAGTGTCCGTCACTCGCCATAGAGAGACAGGTTGGGTTCTGATTGGACGCACCGTCCTTTAGGTTCATACGGAATGAGTTGACCAGCGAGGAGACGGGGATTCCATGGGACATGTAGTCAGGGTGATCAGTTTTCCTGAAGAAAAAAATTTAATTAAAGCATACAAAGCTCAGAAACTACAAAATAAAATAATTAAACAAATATTTTTTTAAAACAAGTTTTCAAAAAAAATAAAAATAAACCGACCCCTGTTCCCTAAAACTAAGTATTTTTGCTTTTGATCAGAAATTAGAATTAGTTTTAAAAATATAGTGAACTAAATCCGTAATGTGTTCGCATAAGACGGAATCAAAAAGAATCAACTATCAAATATGTATTTAATTTATGTAATTGTAAAATACATTGTACAATACATACATAACATAAATTTTATTTTCAAAGTATTAGTGATGTAACATTAACCCCTCACCTAATAATAACACTAAACACAGATCTCTGCACTGCGGCTAGAATACCAGGAAGACTGATCAGTTCTCCAGCATGGGATCTAAAATAAAAACATGCAATAATAATAAACAGATTTGAAAGGGAAACATAATGGAACCCCCAAACCTTCATCAGGACACAGAGAATTAACATTTTTCATACCTTTCATAACTTTCATACCTTTCATAACTTTCATACCATACCTTTCATACCTTGATATGTTTCATACGAAACGGAAACAATTGGAAAACTTTTGTTTTCATCTTTTTCATGATATTCAAATTAGTTTTCTTGTTTCCCACTTATTTTTACTTTAATGTAGCTTTAATTAAATGATAAAAAACATTTAGATATTGCGGGCTTCCGGGAACCATGGATTGACAATAAAATAATTTATTTATGTTTTCTTTTCAATTCTTTGTTTTTATTTTTACTACATTTATCTTTATTATGAGCAAAGCTCATTAGGAGATTACCTGGGAGACATGAGTATAGCTGATGTGGCCTGCAGTAGATGCTGAGACGACCCGCCAGCTACTGATAGCGCCAGTAAGCAGCTACAGGCCAGAGCGCGTATATGCGCGCCATCTTCAAGATTTCCGTTTACAGCAATAGGTTCCCCAGTTCTAGTTAAATAAAAATAAACATCTTCTAACATTTTACACAATTTAGAATTAAGCAAGTTTAGAAACAAGGGGGAACAGTCAGGAACTGAAGATGTTATTTTAAATGACTTTCAACCACTAGAGAAGCATGTCAGGTTCACAACTGTACAAATCAAACCTTTGATTGATATAGAATAAAATGAGGTATCCTTATTTATCTCTCTGAAAATTGACTATTTTCAAATGTAAATTCTCATAGAAGTGACTTGCAGGTTTACGGAACAGAGAAAATATTGAAAAATGCGAGAATTAAAAAATTGAAAAACGGCGATATCTTTCTTATTGTTTATCAGATAAAGTTGTTAAGGATACTGTTGTTAATCTGACATGTCATACTTACTATAGGGTCACTTTCTATAGCCTTTTCTTTCAGAACTTAGTTTATATTTATAGTGGAATTATACCTGCTGGATAGGTCTAGAAGAAGGTGGAACATTGTGTCCACTAGACTAGTTGGTTCATCTCTCAGGTCCTCAGGGCACAGTCCCTGAAGTACATCCAGCAGGGACTGCAGACCACGCTGACAAACCCCAGGATGAAGGGTCTCAGTATCTCTGATACAAATTATTAGTTTAATCTAACTAACTAATCTTTAAAAATGAATTATTTTAGTTTTCAGAAAAGGGTGAATGGAAATAAGGGGGGGGTGGGGGGAAACTCAGCACCCCCCATTACCCCATCCCGCCCCTTATCAGAAAGCTAGCTCATGTTTCCGTATATTATTCTAATAATTTATTTTGAAAATAATCTTGAACGATCAAAACAATTCAACTGACATACCTGATAATATCAAAAACAGCTTTAAGTCCTATCCCGACAATTTTCGGAAGATTTACTTTCCCTTGCTCCGTGTCCAGAACCTCGAGGTCGGTATCTCCCTCCCCCCAGGAGGACGAGGCTGCAGCCTGCAGGATGGAGGCTGCTCGAGACTGATGCTCAAGACATGTCTTCCGGACACTGGCAAACATTGCAAACCTTCATTAAATATAAAATTAATTGGATAAAAAAATTTAAAAAATTTAAAAATATTTAAAATGTGTACAAAGGTTTGTGCTGTGAACCGTAGGATCTTAATTCATATCCATTGTCGCCTATAAGATTAAATACATTTTTTTAATATTACGTGATCGGAACCTGCAGCGACAACTCAAATTATATCTAAAAATTAAAAAATGCCACAGTGGATACATAGAAAAGGCTTTATGGATTAGCGATATCTCACATCAAAATTTTGGTCTCGGGAGACTAATAAAATCTGTGCAGCTGCAGCCGTGTCGTAAACCAAATGAAGAAAAATGAAGATCAACATGTAAAAATTGTCGATGGTTTATTGTTTAGAATAATACAATTTCATTGTCGCCTTTCTCTTGTCAGAAATAGTTTCTAAGTGAAACAAAACCATTTAATAATATTGCAATAACAAATCTTGACTCCTGAGGCGTATATTTTCAAGAATGACTTTCGGATTTTCGACAATTTGGAAATTCCAGTGTATAAATATGTTTTTCAGAAAGTTTTTACGATAACATTTTTTTCCACTCTCCCCTTGGTTAGTGATGTGCATACAGTTGATTCGATGTGGGATGTTTATTATCCTGTATTTTCTTCCAAGTTTTAGGGTAAACATTTTGCATAATTTAAGATAGGCAAATGTTTTCAATATTTGTTATTCTAAACATATAATTCTCCTCCACTGTGTCAAATGTTGATCCAGACAGAACTTAATGCAAAAAACTGCCCAAAAAACGATGCGAAAGCGAACGTGTTGTAATGCTCGTTTTTTCCATTTTTTTCTTTCTTTTTTGAATAAAGATAACTTTAATAAACAGTTTTGAAATCTTGAAAGTTTTATTAAATTCATAAAAAGGATCCAAAACCATTAACAACACTAGACCTGATAACGCTAAAAAATATCGTACCAAGAAGCATTTTTAGAGATTTGAATTTCTGGGACAGTAGCGTATAGACTTGACAACGGCTCAACACACTTTTCTTTAGTTTTCCCATTCTTCTTAGACTTCTTGCACTTCTTACATTTATCCTTCCTAAAATATGAAGTTTAACGTAAAAACAACTGCCAAATGAAAATTTCAAAAAATAACTTACTAAATTATAAGAACAGGGGGAAGCAATGAAAATTTTAACATTAAGTTTCCCCTTTACATCATTTATTTTCCCCACTTCAACAAAACATTATAATATTTTCTTTCTTTCTTATATCTGGGGTAAAGGATCGGGTTGGTGGTATTTTCTTTCTTTCTTATATCTGGGGAAAAGGACCGGGTGGGTGGGGTGGGATTCTTTAATTGTATAATTATCGTTTTCTTAAATTCAATAAAATATAATCGTACTGAGGTTGTATATCCTCGCTCTTCTCAAACATATGAAGGAAGTAGTTGTGCAGAAGGTTGTAATCACACACATTGATGTGCGCGTTAGAATGCGCAGTCTGCAACTCAGGAAGCAACCTTAGAAAAATGCAAAATTAATTTCAATAATTCGCTTTAAAAAGCAACAAAAAATTTAGTTAAACTGTCAACATATTTAGTAGTGACCTCTCAATTAAAAGGCTGCAAGCTTGATAAAAACTTTATGCAAACTGTTCCATTTTCTAGTTTTCTACCTTTCAAAGGTGTTCAGTTTCTTACTTCGCTGAAATTGAATACCCAGAATACAAAATTATCAAATTTCAGGGGAAAATATGGATATATTGTAGTCATTTATGCACTGGCACAGGTCTAAGAGTAAAACTCTTCAATGGATGGTCTCTCGAACTCATGTCTACACTCCTTTTAGAGAAGTAAATTGTCACTGATATTGAACATGAACGTCGAACGACGCAATTGTTTTAAAGACTTTTCAACCGAAAAAATCACGTTTATAATCGCTGCTTTGTAATAGTATTCAAAATTAAGTCATGTACAAAAATGCAGGAGGGGGCCCACTAGGGGTCCAAAAATCGTTCTCAATGACAGACCCGTAAGAAAAGGGTTCTATAATAGCTGTTTAGTATTGAATATTAAGTGCACTATTCAGTTTAGATTTACGTTTAGATCCAAATTCAATCAGGATTTAGTTTACTCAGTGACTGTTGGAGATCCATTATTAATCGGTCATTAAAAGAACCGAATTATGAGTCAATTGTTTAATCGAACTTCTGGAAAAAGTAGAAGAGGGTCTGTCCTTGAGAACGATTTTGCACCCCCCCCCTCCTCCTATCAATTTTGGATATGACCAATAATTTACAGCTTTTTAGCTTTTTAGCAATATTATAATTATTCATAACTTGTTATTTTAGGGTCAGGTTAGGTTAAGACAATTTCTTAGCCGAGCGCTACGGCCATATGACCAATTATGTCCATGTGTTACATATGAGATCCATGTACAAAATTGGTAGGAGGGGGGGGGGCGGTCCAAAAATCGTTCTCTAGGAAATTACCGGTAAAGAAAATTAGATAATCTACATACCCTCCTGAAGCAGCCATTGCTTTATTTGAGTTTAGGGAAGAGTTTGCTTGTAAACAAACAGGATCCTTCCCCAAAACTTGGTTTTTCATGGCGGGTTAGTCAAACAACATCTTCTGCTTCCCCGCCATTCTACTCGGGAAAAATTTTCGATCTGAAAAAATACATAAATATAAAAATACAGTTTTTAACTTCAAACTAAACCAAAACTATGTAATTTTAAATGCATAAAATTTCGAATTCCAGTTATTCGATTAATTGATTGATAATTGTTTATTTCTTTAAACCTAACTACTGGTATCTTAAATCTAAATCCAAATTTATTTCTGGCATCAAGAGAGCTGGTTTTCACTTTCCAGGGCTACAAATAAACCGCGGCATTAAAAATGACAGCTCGCAGTATTCTATAAAATACTTAGTATAAGTTTACGCGGAAGAGAGGTTACGTGAGTTTTATCAATCCTAATTTAACAATTTTCTTTTCTCACGCAACCTTGCCATTTCTGACGTATGATCCGAGAATAACCTTTCATTTAGAAGACGACAATAAAAAATTTCAGCATTACTTTAAACTTTAATATCCAAAAATTTTTAAATTGTCTTAAACTAACCTAACCCTCAAATAATGCAAAAATAAATAGCTGGCGTAGGTCTGATATTGCAGTAGGTCGACGGAAAGTTAGTAGGTCAGAAGTTCAGTGAGGGAGGGAGTCCAGAGTTCCTCAAATAGTAATCACCGCCACCCAAATCTGTTTTGCGGCAAGTAAATGGAAATTATATTAACCAAGATTGTAATGTTAAAAAAAAATGTTGAATATAAAATCAAAGGAAAAATTACGTATATTATAGTTCCTTGGCTAAAAATTAGCCAAAATACGCACAAAATACACAAATAATATAGAATTTTCTGCAAACAAATCAGCCTTAATAAATTTTTTAAAATGATTCTTTCTTCTTAAGTTTTTTATTTGTCCCCCAAACCGTAATTTAGACAGACCCATTGACGCGGTCTAATTTGATGTGGGACACTCTGTACTTTAATAATTAATACTGCATTTTGAAATGTCTTCAGTTTCTTTAACAACTAGAGGAGGGACTAAGCCGTAAAGGGATTGCAAGAAAATGATTAAATTGCTATTTTACAGAGTAAATTTATGACGTCTCAAAGTTGGTATTGACTTTAAACTTTCTCTCACAAATATAACCATGGTTAAATTATTGATTATACGAAAGTACTTCGTATAAACCATTGTAGCTTCAGTCTTAATGTCATCAGAAGAGAGAAACATTCGAAGTTCAATAGTGTTACCATAAAAAAGTGGTATGAATAAAATTCGGTGATAGTGCATGGACCAAACCTCTGTAGAGTAAAAAAGTAGATGTTAGTTCCACATTTATTGAAAATATATTTCGGTCTGGGTTGACCCTCGTCAGTCCTAGCGATATTATAACCATCAAAATCGATAAAAAAAAATATTTAAAAATTTTTGAAAAAAATCACAAGAAAATAAACAAACAAAAAAGATTATTCAAAATAAAAATTTGGGCTGTCAAATGGATGACATAAGGGAAACGAACTCAGATTATGAGATGGGAAAAAGATAATTTGCAAATATTCACTTTTAAAAAAAAAATGTTTTAAGACAATTATTATTCCTTGAGATTGTCTCTGTGTTATGAAATCAAGAAAATCTAAAGCCTTAAAACTGACTATATATGTAAACTGCCCCCCCCCCAAAAAAAAAATGTGATATACATCATGTTTTAGGTCTGATACTTTGATTACCGTTGAACTTTTTCGATTTTCAAGAATTTTTAAAAGTTTTTGAATTGAATTTGATTTTTAACTGGGAGCATGATACAAAGTTGCAGCTGCACTGGGAGAATTAGGCAAGATTTTTTGGGAACAAATTTTTTTTTGACTTAAAAGACTCAAAAAGAGTCAAAATTAATGACTAAAGACTAAAAAACTAGATTTTTAACTTTTCACACATTATAGTTTATTAAAACAGATATTTTTCCTGTTTTGCACTAGGAGAAGCTATTCTGAAAATAGGAACAAAAAATTCAAAATTCAGGAGGGCTACGCCCCTCCCTGAATCTGTCAGGGGGGGGGCGAATGCCTACCATGTATACGAGCGCTTATGAGGCTAGTCTTGAGGAGAGAATACTGTGTTTTGTAGAGAGTGCTCCAAAATATAGAGTTTGAACAATATGAATAAGATGGATGACAAAGAAAAAGTCATGATCGATGAAAAAGAAAGAGTTTTGATTGAAGAAGATAAGAAAGCCATGTTGAGTGATGAAGAGAAAGCTATGATAGAAGAAGAAGATCAAGCCTATCTAGATTGGTTGATTGAAACCATGTTAAGGGATGAATTAAGAGAAAGCTATGGTTGAAGGAGAAGAGGATAAAGTTTTTCCAATGAAACCCATTGTGATAGTAGGGTTAATTCATGCAGTGAATTGGATATGGAACAGTTAGTGAAACAGGAAGTGACAATTTCCGGTTCAGAATAAAAAGAAAATTTAGTAACCGGAAGTACAAGTTAGGAAAGAATAACCCGGATATGTTACGAATAAGGAAGAGAAGATAGGTAAAATGAGAAGAAAGCCTAGAAAATCCTTACTATGAATATCAAAGGTTTACAACATCAGCTTGCAATGATTATCAGGATTAGAATTTGAGTCTGTTCCTCAAACTCTGATTTACTAATCCCTATATCTTTGCAACCTAATGTCTCAGACCTTAGATATTTCAAACTATAAATTTTGTTATATCAAATAATCTAAGTTTGAAATATCAAAGGTTTACATCATCAGGTTACAAAGATATAGAGATTAGAAAATTTGAGTTTGTGGCAATGACTCAATTTCTTCCTGAATGTTTTGGCGTTCTCCTGTTCTCACTTATTTTCTTTATTTTCTAAATAAATTTGCAGATCTAAAGAAAAAAACATGACGTCCCTGGGCAACGCCATGATGGGTACTCTGCTCGGGCACTCAGATGCGGAGAAAATGTTTAGGTAAACACTATACACTGTTAGCAGAAACCCTAACATTTTTTTGTTAATTTCGAATTCACCGACAGCATTTCAAAAGATGCCCCCCTTAGTAGAAACTAACACAGAATGTTAGAATGAAATCTGTAAGATGTGTGATAACCCTAAAATATACCAGCTTTAAGGTTACAGCTTATAAAGCTGCAATATTTTTTATCACCTTTAAACTAAATATGAACTAAAACTAAATATCAATATTAAAAAGAACATGTTCAGTATCCATATCTGCTATTAACTTTTTTTACATTGTGTTCTTATTTGTTTAGACCATGGTGGGATTCTCTGGAAGATTTTGTAATCTATGGTTTAATCATGCTCGGACTTATTGTCAGGAAAACATTATTTATTTACGACAACTAACCTTCTTCCACGTTTTTTTCAAAGCTTTTTATCATGTTATTTACAGAAAAGTTGTATTTATTTTTAAGACTGTGCATGGGGGTCGACTTTAAATTGCTCCTACGCCTTGGCTTTTGATTTTCCTCAATAACTAACTCACTTACACTTTTATCTATTCTGGGACACTTTTGGAATTGACATAATGCATAAATAAAAATACAAATGATAAACCTTTAAAATCATGAAAACTTTTCTGTCTTTCTGTATATGTGTTTGTAACCTTAAACTTTCTCTATCTTGATACATTTCTTTATTCTATCTATTTCATATTTTACAATATAAATTCAACCTTTAAATCTCAGATGTATAGACTTTGTAAACCAACTTCAACCAAAGCATCTGCGCGTTTTCCTTTACCCAACCACATACAAGAATTTAAAAGTACAACACTTTTGTAACCAATGAAACCATGTACACCAAGGCTAATTGTTATGAAGTATGTTCTTAAATATGTACTTGTGCGCAAACTGTACTCTCTTGTGATTCATTTAGTATAAACGCGCTTTAATTTTGATTTATGCATTTTGTCAATTCCAAATGGGTCACAATTTCAAAATATTTGTAATTGGAACTGCACCCACAGTGAGTTATTTTTTTCCACGAAAAAAGTGTAAAAAGCAAAAAAGCTTAATAAATGCATAGTCCGACAACAAATAAAGATAAAAAATGTAAAAAGCAAAAAAGCTTAATAAATACATAGACCGACAACAAGTAAATATAAAAAATGTAAAAAAAATGCTTAAAAACCTATAGTCCGACGACAATCTTCAATGGGACTCCACTCTTCTGCACACAGTGTACAAAGGTTAATTTAAATAAACTATTACATACAGGTTTTTAGTTTTTACCCCCCCCCCTCCTCCCCTCCCCCCTCTAAAATGCAGTTTATAGTTTTTTCGAAGCGGAATTCTTGATTTTAAAATTTTGAATTGGCTTGCTAACTAATTTACAAGCAATAATATTTATCACAAGTTTATAGTTTATCTTCATTCTTTGCATCTATATATATATAAAGTAGTAATCTTTCTTTGTCTGTTTGTATATCCGATCATAACTCATTAACCCCTCGACCGATTATCCTCAAATTTTGATTGGGGAGAACCCTGTAGTTTGGTTTTAAAATTCGAAGTTGAATTTTACAGAGGAATCCAGACAAAGCTTGGATTCCAAGCTAGCATTAAATTATAAATATGTACACTGTACAGTATGAAAAAGTCAGACCGGTACGATCTATAGTATATATAGTGATAACTTGTGCAGCCTGGACAGTGCGGGGATAATCCTAGCTCGGTCGATGACCCTGGTTACTATCCTTACTGGGTCAAATCTTACTGCACAATGACGTCATTGACAATATTTACATTATACTTCCCATACATTCTCCTTCTCTCAGCTCTAGCTTTAGGTAAAAAGATCCACATGGCTGTCTATATATTTAAATTATTTAAATAGTGGCATGTCTGATTCATAGTGGTACGTGTTCTAAGTAACAATTAGGAAGATATTTTTGTTTTTATAACTTTATCAGTGTTTAATTCTGCTAATTTCCTTATCTGTTTCTGCAGCTTATATCCAATAATGACTTTGAAGAGAAACCGCACTTTAAATTTATCAATTTTCAGCTTGTATTGGACATATCACTCTTTAGATGAAGGGTCAATTCAAATTAAACTTTTATTTATAGACTGAAATACACTTATTTAAAATTTGAATTCATTGTGTAATTCAATCCTTTAAACTTCCTGATACTATTTTTTGTAAATAATCATGTATTCGTTGCTTATGGCCATTTTTGAAAGGAAGATCATATCAAACACAGGTTCGAAAAAGTCAATATATTAAAATATTTTTAAAAAATCTTTATCCCTATTTTGTCATATTTAGGAAAGCTTATTTGTTCTCTATATATTTTATTGATTTTTTGTTATGATACTTTAGCTGCTATTGAACGGTTGTTCTCCCGAATGTTTAAAACAAATATTCAAATAGAAGGATTCTATTCTCTACTCAAGGCTGAAGTATCATCAAATATCGAGGTATACTCCAACATTTTGTGTTATATATCGAAAACATTTTGAAATAACAACGATTTTGTTCGAAGTTAAGAACAGAATTTTAGAGATATCTAACAAAATCGAATCCCTAACATTTAGTCCGTAATATTAATATGCTTTTAGTTAATTCGATATTGCGAGGAAAATAGTCTTAGTATTAATCGCATATATTTTGATTTTATGTAAAATTGTTGATTTAAAAAATCCCAATGATAAGTAAAAAGAATGCATTTATGCCACGGAAACTTTTTCAATTTTATTTCATTTCTTAAAAAAGGATTTCTTTTTTGAGTGATCCAAACGATCCAAGGATAAAAAAGTAAACAGTTTATTAAAACATGTTTAAAGGTACTGTACACTATAGTTTTAGTAGAAGTAAATATTTCCATTTAATGTTTAGCGCCGATGTAAGGATTCATAACTCTGATTGGATAATGAGATAAATAGAAAGATAGATGTATATATACTATTTCTATTGGTTCAGAATAATCAACAAACATATGACTGAACCCTGATTGGATCAGGCGCTAATGGACTCGGGATACAGGAGTGATGTGAGCCTCTATGCAAAGATAACAATATCCGATTTACTTAATCTGATCAAGTATGAATCAGATATCGATAGTTCTGTTCTTTTTTACTGCTTATTCAAAAAAATTAAAGTAAACCCTTTTCGAGTCAGGAAAACGAGGTTTTCTATAGGAACCGTTGTTAATCGGCATGGCTATCTTTGCATGAAGGATAATTTGACATTACGCTTACAGTCCCTTAATCTGCAGATCAAATAAAATCATGTTTTTCAATGTTGAAATGTTAAAATGTTCAGAGTAATGATATAACTGTAGAGCTAGAGAACAATGTTCGGACTGTGGAAATCAGAGAATCTTTTAAGGTATAATGTTTTTAAATATATAATAATGTTTTTAAATATATAATAATGTTTTTAAATATATAATAATGTTTTTAAATATATAATAATGTTT